TTGACACCTCTTCCTTCTTTGAAAAGATGGCTACGTGCGCCCGCGAACCCTATTTATAAGGTTCCTTTCCTCATTTGAAATTCTTTTCTTTGAATTTCCTTTGTGTGATCTCACTGCCTAGCACCTGGAAATATGCTAACCCTCCTCGACTTGTACTTCATTATTATTAATAGAATTCTAATTATACTTCATGTTATTTGCATAATTTAGGAATTTTCCTAGTCAAAACTTCCAAGTCCCTACATAGACAAATACATCATCTGCATATACCATTTCAATCTTTCTATACACAATCTGCATATATGACATTATCGATTCTGGTATTACATATTCCACCAAATAGCCAATGCCATGTAATTTGGTTGTCATGGAAACAGTAATAAATGACATATCATCAACGGTTCCATGACACATGCTCCGCCGACGATTGCTCCGCCGACATTTACTCCGCAAAACGCGACAATTGCTCCGCGACATTTGCTCCGCGACATTTGCTCCGACGTCAAATGCTCCGCCGACAGGTGCTCCGCCGACAGTTGCTCCGCCGACAGTTGCTCCGCCGACAATTGCTCCGCCGACAGATGCTCCGCCGACAATTGCTCCTCCGACAATTGCTCCGCCGACAATTGCTCCGCCGTCAATTGCTCCGCAAAACGCGACAATTGCTCCGCCGACATTTGCTCCGCCGACATTTGCTCCGCCTGAAGCGACACTTGCTCCGCCGACATTTGCTCCGCCGACATTTGCTCCGCCGACATTTGCTCCGCCGTCAATTGCTCCGCCGACAATTGCTCCGCCTGAAGCGACAATTGCTCCGGTGACATATGCTCCGCCGACAATTGCTCCGCCCAAAAAGTGTCCCATTAAATACAAATGCTACTAGTACTACGACAAATGCTTCGCCGACAATATTTTTTTTTCACGGGTTGTTTTTGTTTCTTTCTTTTTTTCTTCATTTTTTGAATGCATTTCATGACATTATGTAAATGAAATGAAATGAATGAATGTTGATAATGTGGGAGGAAAAAGCAGTTGCCTAAAAGTCGTTTCGAATATACTGAAATAACTTTTCATCTATCACTGTACGTCCAACATAATGTACACTAAACACTCATTACATGTCATGGGAAGTTTTTTTTTTTTTAAAGTAGAGCAGCAAGCCACATTCCCCAATACGCGCATACCTCCTAGTTAATTTCAAACAGCTCATCAATATGTAAGACCTCAATGAAAGAAGACTAATAACATGAGAGGAAAGAAAAGAGCAAAAAAGACAACCGTTTTTTGCTATTCCCCATAATGTTTGATTTAAAAAAATAAAAAATAAAATTATAGCTCCTTACGCAAGTTCTCCGGCGAAAGATAATTACTCCGCTCAAAATCTGTTTCATGTATTACTCATTAGCTGATCCAAAGCTCAAGGCTATCTCTCTCTCTCTGTCTCTTTCTCTCTCTCCCATGCTCCTCCTTTTCCTGTTTACACCGTTTTCTTGTCTTCTTTGCTCTTTTCTTTCCTCTCATGCTATTAGTCTTCTTTCATTTCCATCACTTCTTCTCTGCTCCCCCTCTCGAGTTCTATTTCTCTCGTGAAATTGAAACGTAAAGTAATACAATCATGTAGTACATTCTTGTTTAGAATAATATTTTCAATAATATCCAGTCCATTTTCTAAAGGTTTCTTTCCTTTAGTTAAGTGTATGTAGCTTTAATATATATATGTTAGTGTGCAAAACACTCCGTTTCATTCGAGTACTTTGTTTTCACTAAATAATTTAAGGGACTCACGAAGCCACCGGAAGAAGAGCAATTGGCTTATCATGAAGAACTAACATCAAACTGCAACAAAATGATTTGTATAAATGTGAATAAGCAGAAAGGCTGCCATCTCATTTTCCCGTCTGAATGGGTTCTCTTCCTTACGTATATAAGTGCCCTTATTTTCTAAACTTTTTTTTTATATTTGTGTGTTTATTAAATTTTCAATCATATAAAAATTACATATTTACAAGTCATTGGTAATAATTAGACAAACAAAAAAACCAATATGTATAAGAACAACTAACAATAATGAAAGGACAAGAAAGTTATAAAAAAAAAACATTATAGTAAAAAAAAATACACTGTACACATATAAATCATAGTTTGAACTCCAGTGCATAAAGGGGAGTGAGGGGGCACAGGAATAAAAGTTAAATCAACATGAGTATCATAAGTCAAATTGCCATTTCTTAAAATGCGAAACAAGCTTGTTCCGTTTTTCGCTGAGAAATATTCAATATCTTTTTGTTTCTTTATAAAACTCTTAAAAAGATCAACACTTGGTAAATCCCCCTTACTTATTTTCTAAACTTCCATGATGACCTATTACATTGTATAATGCTTTACCTAGTAAGATGCATTGATCGAGGTAATTTCAGGTATTACATATTGATGAGCTACTTGAAATTAACTAGGAGGTATGCGCGTATTGGGGAATGTGGCTTGCTGCTCTACTTTTTTTTAAAAACTTCCCACGACATGTAATGAGTGTTTAGTATACATTATATGGGACGTACAGTGATAGATGGAAAGTTATTTCAGTATATTCGAAATGACTTTTAGGTAACTCCTTTTTCCTCCCACTTCATCAACATTCATTCATTTCATTTCATCTACATTATTTCAAGAAATGCATTCAGAAAATGAAGAAGAAAAAAAGAAACGAAAAAAATAGGTGTAAAGAAAATATTGTCGGCGAAGCATTTGTCGTAGTACTAGTAGCATTTGTAGTTTATGTGACACTTTTTGGGCGGAGCAAATGTCGTCGGAGCAAATGTCGGCGGAGCAATTGTCGGCGGAGCAATTGTCGGCGGAGCAAATGTCGGCGGAGCAAGTGTCGCTTCAGGCGGAGCAAATGTCGGCGGAGCAAATGTCGGCGGAGCAATTGTCGCGTTTTGCGGAGCAAATGACGGCGGAGAAATTGTCGGCGGAGCAATTGTCGGCGGAGCAATTGTCGGCGGAGCATCTGTCGGCGGAGCAATTGTCGGCGGAGCAACTGTCGGCGGAGCAACTGTCGGCGGAGCAACTGTCGGCGGAGCATTTGACGTCGGAGCAAATGTCGCGGAGCAAATGTCGCGGAGCAATTGTCGCGTTTTGCGGAGTAAATGTCGGCGGAGCAATCGTCGGCGGAGCATGTGTCGGGTTACCATCATCAACACGTATAACTGGAATGTATTCTGCAACTTTAAGCTTTCTCCTCTGGAAATAAACCTAATATAGAATACATACAAATGCATTCATCATATGAATATAAAGGAAAAGCACATTTACCATTTCTAATAAATATTGAGTTTGTTTAGAAGGTTGAAAAACAAAAACGTTACTTTCCAATATCATGCTAACATAAAGTACACCATGTCAGTCTTGCATTATGGTATAATCCATTTTCTTCAAAAATCTTGTTCTTTGACATTCTCTGAGTTATTAGAGGATCAGAATAATATGTATTTCCTCTTCTGACTAAATATCAACCTTTTCTGGCAACAGTTTTTTCTCTTCTCTTGCTTAGAACTTCTTCTAAAACGCTGTCCTTTCCTCAAATTTCTTGTCAAAGTCTCTAAAAATTCTCTGAAAGTTGCTCAAATGTTGACACCTTGTCCATGATGCTGACGCACAAAAATTCCTTAATTTCTTGACTGATCAATGTTATTCTAATACGCGAAAAAGGATAAATGTCAGTTCCGCTTTCTGGTTTTAAAAACACAAAACACGAATACCTCTATAATTGGCACGGGACAGCGCTAGGCTTGACCCCTCATCTTAGAAACACAGAAATGTCTCTAAGAATCTGCCTCCATATTAAATAGAGCTTTGTAACTGGTCTCCCCTCAGTACGCTGGTTCGGGTCTTCACTCACACTGTCGATCGAAGCCTTTCTCTTCTGGCCATGTCTGAAGGACTCTTCCCAAAGGCCAAACATTGCGGTGTGAGTGCTCGTCGACCACCAGTACCAAATCGTAAACCTGGATGATGAGGGAGGTATCGACATGTTACATCACCTGGTTGACAATCTTGCTCTTCCACCACCTCGGCATAACCTTCAGTGTACTTGTAGTGCAGAGCGTGATCTCTACCTAGCTTCCTTCTGAGACTCCGCAACCTTTGTTCTGCTACCCATCGGTTGTCTGTCAAGCTACATGTAGGTCGTTTTTCCTTGAAGGGTATGTGAAACTGGTACTGTTCCATCTCTTTGCACTTCCCTTCATTCTGTATGTCAAGAGTCTTTCTGTCATTCACCGACATTCCTTTGTCTGGAATAGCAGCAGCAGGGCCATGCAAGGACCATACAAGTACAGTACGTACATTCTCTAAGGGCATCAGGGCAAAAGGCGCATCTTGCCCTATCAGGAGTCCCACTTCTTGTCCGCAGGCAAATGGTAGATCCAGCCCCTCTAAGTGCTGCCATCCTTCTAAGTCTCGCATACTGGCCATGTCATCACTCAGTAAGTCGGTCTTCCTGTTGGTAGAAACCTTCTGAAGCTTCACTCTTTCTGTCATGAGACCTGTGTCTACCATACGACTCACAACTTGAGTCTGGATCCTTCCATCAGGATCGTCCAAGGTTGATATGGAAAGTATGCGCTCTTCCCCCTGTGCTGATACTTTCCTTACTAGGCCCTCTGTGCAGAAGAAAGTGGTCGAACCAGAGTCCAGTAGAGCGTAGGTCCGAACACATCTATCTCCATCTGCTGCCTGAACATGCACTGGACCTATGGGAAGTACACATCGCATACCGGCCCCTATGGCGATTCCGTAACTTGCTTCTGACCCAGTTAACATGGAGCCATTCTGTTCTGTGGTTTCACTCTGATTAGTGGTGGTATCATACTTCAAGGGCTCTCCATGCTGGGAGAAGTCCTTGTCTGTTACAGTAGCGCTGACCATGTTGGGTTGCAACTCTGAGGGCCGTCTCAGCTGGTAGACACCCTTCTCTAAATCTGTAGCCATGCTGGGCTCCGTCGTCAAAGCCCCTCTTTGTTGAGAGACATCTTCATCTGCAGCAGCAGTCTCTCTCCACGCTGGGAGAAGTCCTTGTCTGTAGTGCTGACCCTGTTAGGTTGCACCTGTGAGGGCTGTCTCAGCTGGTAGACAGCCTTCTCTAAATCTGTAGCCATGCTGGGCTCCGTCGTCAAGGCCCCTCTTTGTTGGGAGACATCTTTATCTACAGCAGCAGTCATGCTCTCTCCATGCTGGGAGAAAACCTCTTCCTCAGCTTTTGCCATGCTGAGTCTTGTCTGTAGCTCAAGCTTACTCCTTCTCTGCTTCAGCTTAAACTCCTCCAGTTCAAGAGCTTGTTGTTCGTTGAGAGCTGCTGCCTGAGCTGCCAAGGCCGCTCTCTTCACCATTGCTTTGACTCTAGCTCTGGAGGTACTGCTTGTGCTGCTCTTGCCAGTCTGGCTTGCTGAATCCCCGGGCTTGACGGACTCTTGATGGGACATATCGCTCATGTTGACTTAAAGCACTGTTGTTGAACTTAATGTAGCGTATAACCAACCAATCGGACTGACTGCACTCAATAAATAGCGACAATTTCAAGCATGATGCGATACCGTTCATAAAAGGCGGTTCAACCTGAAATTTAATCAGAATTATAAACAATCATAAATAATATGTCGATTTTCAACTGTGTTCACAAATAATCTTGCATCAAATGAGTTGTATGATTAATGCACGTTTACTGAAATTACATATTATACTGTTCCAAAATGAAATATCAATGCCCACTAAATATTATGTTCTATTTCCTTATAGCAGATGAATAAAAACCTTTAAGATACCCTAATATGGCTGCTTCAATTTCCTTTGTTCACTAATATTTGTGTGCCGTGATAAAACAATAACCCTTTTGGCTCTACACATATTACCCTATATTCCTCTTTATATACATGTCTACAGTTACCAGAATTTATCTACATTCTGTCACTTTATACAACTGCCTATATATATAAATGATATTAAATAACACAACACGGTCTGTACAACAGACTATCCCCATAGCACTACACACATGCACGGTATTATGTAACTGCACATGTAATGCATCATAAAAGTTACTGTGCGTATAAATTACTTTCATAACAAATTTTATACATCAAATTATCTGAATAATATGAACGTTTTAAAGCCAACACCCAACTCAAACTGACGGCTAATTATCAATTATCAACATCATATGTTCAAATTATACTCACAACATTGGGCTTGTCTGGAAATACTAAATATTGATCGCAATCAGAAGGATGACTTTTCCCAAAATTGAGAATCATTTGCAGCTAAATTGTTACGCCCCCACTCGGCAGACCAAAAATTCAACCAAAAAAAAACATCGCTTCTGACGTCATACTCCGATCGTCAACTGAAACAAAAAATGTCCTCACAAAACAGAGATTAGTATCTTACAATTCATATGAAACTTCTTTTCTAACACAAAATAGTTATTTGATGTAATTAATAATGATAATTTATGCAAATTTGATGCGATTTTCGAATATTTAATTTCTTATGTATTTTATTGTTTTTTATTTCTTATTATATCTATTGTTTTATTTCTAATGTATTCTTTTGTTCTGAAATACATCAAGTTACTTTGAGAAACATATAAAAACAATTTGATATCAATTCATATCTTCACATTTCTGCTTGTACATGAATATATGCAATTATAGCACTTTTTTGATGACATGCGCATACTAATTGTTATGTAACACCTTACAGGTATATCCGATTTCGACGAAAATGGTATCAAAATGTGCGTAAGACTTGAGGGGAAAAAGTCATGAAACGACAATTCGAAATTCCGAGCGGTTGCGGCGCAATCTTCGAAAATGTCGAGGGGGGGGGGCCTCCCAGGCCCCTCCCCCCCAGTACAGGGTTAAATACAAAGAACGTTTTTAAATCCTCGAAAATTTGCATCGTGATAAAATTTAAATGATAATAATCGACTGCTTTTACACATCTAGTATACAAGTTGTAAATCAATAATGGGCTTTTCACTTCGAGTCGAAGGAGTTACGTTAGTCATAACCATAAATACAGTTATCAATACTAACTGACTTTTCTCCTTGTTTGTTAAAGCAAACTAATTTTTTATCGAATGGTTTGCCACATTGTTTACAAAACTGTATAAACCAATGAAATAAAATTCACTTTGCTTTACATAAAACATAGTTTGCTTATGCATACATGAATATTACAACAAATAAAGTTACTTCTGTTTAGTATACAGTTCACAATTAAGGTATTATATTTTGTACGTTTGCCGTTTACCACTTTCAAAATCATGTCAATTTGAACACATTTGCACAATTACGATTTACTTGATTTTTGATGCATTTCTCTCTTTTCCTGTCTGAGCGCGCATATTAATAGACAATAGTTTGCAATATATATATACATATAGTTGTATCAAAACAATTTCTTCGTAGATAATGTGTACTGAAATACATAGATTTTAAATCAAAATTTGTATTAATCATCATTTTCTACAACAAACATAATTATTCACTTCAAATTCACATTCATTAAGTCATTAAAAAAAACTAGCTAATATTACATATTTACACGAGTCTTAAACAACAACACAATGTTGGTAATCAAACCTTTTTTTGTGTGGAAAGTACTGATATTCAATATTTTTCGTAAATGAATCTAAATATTTCAACAATAGACAGAAAAGTACAAAAACAACCTCTATAAATACCAGTCAGACGGGATAAACAAAGACAAACAATGATCTAAGGAAAGCAATTGATCTTGAAAATTGCATACAAAATATTAGATACTATTCACTTTCCACCAACGATTAGTTGGCATAGAGCAATCATTGAACCAAAATTAAACCAAAATTGTACATATTACAGACATGAATTACAGACAGTCCTTAAGACATATTTCGAAACAAAATTTACGTGTACTTTATAAGTTCGGAACATTCACTCGACCATGCACCCAAAACAATGCACCTGTACAGATGAGTATTAGTTGTCTTGCTATAGGCCGTAAGTCCCAGGCTGGGATTCGAACCATTAACCTTTGGATTGATAATCAAGTGAATGAACCACCTATACCACGACACCTCCATAATAAGTTTTTCCCGTAATTTCCCTATATTTTCTTAGGCTAAAAGAAAATGCTCCACAAACAAAATATATACAAATACAGTTTCATCTAGAGATTTTAGAACCATAATTCAAACAACACAGCTATATGAATTTAAGAATCAAATGCAAAGTTCTCGTACACAGAGCACCATTCAAACAACGCAAAGCTATATGAATTTAAGAATCAAATGTAACGTTCTCGTATACAGAGTAGGGTTGTTGAGGCTTTGACTTCGGTCTATCCTGGCTCCTCTCAGTCTCTACGTTGCCATACATGAGCGCGGCGGCGCCTGCATCCTGCGGATCTGTGATCTCATACGGGTTCTCTTCCGGGTCAAGTGTATAGTCGATCTCTACATTGCCATACGTGTGGTCATCTATCGGGTACGGAAGCTGCTCATAGTTCTCAGTGTGCAGGTATTCACGGATGGCATCGTAGATGAAAGCATATTCCTCCTATATAAGATTGTATGGGAAGGTTCTATTTGTTAACTACTTAATATTCATTGGCATATAGAGATGGAGATATAAAGATTTATTTAGAATTAAAACAAAAATAAATAGAATCAGTTCAGTTTCAGTTCAGTTCAGTTTATTTTATTTTTGCACGGCACCAACTTCAGCCAAAGGCTGTTCTTCTGTTGGTCCGTGCAGAATAAAGATGGTACTTTAAAAGGGGGACAATATACGAATACATTTTCGCACTAAATTAAGATTTTAGTATTCAGAGGCTGTATTCCTTTCATGTAAACCCCAAAATAGGAAACAATCATTGATTTGACTCTGATTAAATTATTTCAAATATCTATTTCGACTTAGTAATCTACCACTGCATACCATAGCACAGTAAAAAAAAAAAAGAATATTGACATGTCGCAATTACAGATTATATTTCATCATAATTCATGTTATCTACTTATTGTACGGGGAAGTATTTGACCTGTGTGTTAAAGATACCAATAATTGTCATACCTCAGTTTGGACGAACTGCATCCTGTCAGCTCGCAGTGTCTTGACTGTCTGGAAAATATCGACGGAATCTCTCTCCGCTATCTGAGCGATGCACTCCATAGCAGTGCAAAGCACACCTGTTCGCCCAGCACCACTCCTTTAAATCCAAACAAAAAAAGAAAATAAGTTTATAGTACAATAATCCAGGTTCACTATAAACATGTGACTATTGGGTGAAATTATTGCATTTTTAGTATTAGTTCTCGTTACCGAATAGACCTGTTTTCTAAAGCATTTCACTTTCTGCATGTTTCTCTTTAGAACCCCTTGTTTCTTACTATTCAATTAACCTGCTTTACGAAATCGCATCTCTATGATGGAACCCACTTTGCATACATCAACTGCTGCTATGTCTAACAAGGCCTGACAAGCTTTTGTGTTGCCAATGGAAATATTTCTTCAAGAGGTAATTCATCAAATTTTTAAACAGGCTATTTGCTTAAAGTAGCCACACGAAGAAATCAAAAGTATTTTGAATTGATGCAAAACTCACATCATTGCGAAAGGAAAGCCTTGCCGATCAAATACAACAACTCTTCTCTATATGTTTGGAATCAACTCTCAAAAATGTTAGTTTTGAGATCCAGATTTTCTGCCTTCAGCGGTCCTTTGTAGAGCGTCAATATTTGTGACGTCACATACGGGACACGGCTGGCTAGCTGCATACTGCTACACGGCACTGAGCTGTTCGTCCAGTGTGTGACGTCACAATTCAGAGCTCGCTACGCTTGTGTGTTTGACTTACGTTCAGGGGCGTTCGGGGGTCTAAGGAGGGTCTTGACAAATTGCATTTTACGCTTTTCCATGATATCTATATGATATCTCTGCAAACTGTTCGTGTTTTTCAAGAGAAAATCTTTCCATCCATATGTAATTTGTTCTAATTATGAGTTGTTAGTTAATTTTCTTTGTGTAGTTCCTTTAACGTTGTAGAAGAGTTTTAAGATTTTAAAATCATTGCCTTGGTTGCACAAAATTTACCTCAATTTGTTTAATTCATGGGCCGATCCTATTTCCATCGACTTTAAAAAGCATTAAAAAGATCCTAGACTCACAAACAATGGACAAGAATGGAGAATTCATTCATTTTGTTAGTGGAACCTTTGACAGCACGGATGAGCTTGATCAACGACCTAGCCCCTGATTGTTGATCTGATCCATGTTTAGGCCATCCATGGAACTGGTACTGAGTGACGGTGTGACTGGTCTAAAAGAAAACGAATCAAAACAATCCGTGAAAATGGATGTATAAGGCGTATTAGAATTAGTCACAACATTGCATCTTATCTTTGTATTGTACCAGACATGGATAATGATGTTACACTGGCTTTGTGCTCACAAATTTTATTTGTCTATGTTTCAAAAACAAAATAGTAGTTAAAAGAGGAAATCGAGTTCTGGTAAAGATAAAAAATAACAATTGTGATGATTCCCATTTTGTCAATTTAATTTTAGAATATTAAAGATAACAGAAATGACCCCTGAAAAAACTGAAAAGTTTGAACCAAACGCTCATGTCACATGTGTAGTCCCTTTATATGCAGCGCATATGATTTTCAGCAGCACTGAGTTAAATTTGATATTGATCATTCCAAGACCTCACCGTAGTATGTACTACATATTCAACTTCTTTTCACAGTTGCTCAATTACAGACAGTTTCTTTCACAATATTAAATACTCTTGCATGACTAACTCAGCTTTATATTTTTAACATAAGTGCGATATTAACAACGATCAGATCTCCGGGTGATTTATATTCATCAAGTCGCAATTCGTCCGGTAGGTGAAACTGTTCCGGTTGAAATTCATAATGCGGTTTGCCAATTACAATATTAGATTTCTTGATTGGTTAAACAAAAATCATTTCAAATAAGGGTATCACATTAAAATTCCCCACCCTTCTTCAACACTTACTATAATCGTAAAGAAAATATATGAAATAAGACATACTTTGGAGTTTCTGGTAATTTTGAGTTTACGAATGGTCATGTCCCCATCAGTTGATGTTGATAAGGTTGTAACTGAATAGGATCCAAACTGAGCTGAGTCAGCATTAGGCCAGTACTGTGCACAGCTCTAGAAGAAACAGAAGTTAGGCTGTCGTTAAAACATCAATATATGTTTGTCCTTCTTGTACACCATTCTCTATCATCCTTCCTTCCTCTCGCTCTTCTGACGTATTATATTTATATTTCTCGCTCTTGCCGTTTTCCTTTCCCTTAATAATGCACCAGGTTTCTTGAATCACCATTACTAGTCACTTTAGCCGTGTTAGTTTTTTAAATGAGCCTTATGGACCCTGTGCAGATTAGCCTTGTGCTAACCAGGTAATCCAATAAAGTCTACTCCTATACAACTTTTATTACTATTTCTACTATTACTACTACTACTGCTACTACTACTACTACTACTACTACTATTAATCCAGGGAGGAGTTCGAACTTGGTTGTTCAAACAAAATCTCTAACAGGTACCCCTACCTTCTGCGCCACCGTTGGGAATCTAATATTTAATACGTTAAGTGTGGTTATTATTTACCAAAAAATAGAATCAATACAAAATAGCAAGGTCTTTAAAATCTCCGAAACTCAAACTGTGAAAAATGTTAACAAACCTAATTTTAAAATGTACATGTTATCACATTTATTTACTACCTTGTCGTTTTGGCTCTTGTCATTAAGCATGACGATAGTGGATGGTTTATAGTTGAGGACCATAGACCAGAAATCAGACACAGTGGCTGGCAGCGGCATCTGGGTTGTCATGAATGTACAGTGGACTCCCTGAAAGATGAAGAAATAATAATTACAATATCCGATGTGAAAACGTAGCCACCTACTTCCGTTGTTATAACATGTATAATAGCTGTCAGTATCATCGAAGCACAATCACCCTAGGCGGAGGGGGCTTATATAAATGCACTGCAGCCCCACCCTACATCCTCTTCAACAATCCAGTTTAACATATTTCATAATAGACAATACAATTCTTATATCTTCGATAGTACGTTCTATATTGTAATGGCGACAGTACATGTACTTTTAATGGTTATAAATAGATCCACAATTCAACGACAATTGGTGTCACTATACACTATAATTATGAAATATAGAAACTGGAAAAGATTGATCACATTGTGACATCGACCAATGTAACAACGCATTCTACAGATGTCAAATTCACTTTGATGTTTTCGTATCAAAACAAGTCACTAAAATTCGATATGAAACATACGAAAAATACTTGTTTGTGCTAATTATCAATAATATGAATAATACCGATATGTTGAAAACGAGTCAAATGAAGACGTAAACGGTATCGATGGTATTTAATCCTTAAGTTTTTTTGACACTAAATTGCAGGTGTAAATTGAATCACTTGACCCAGGAAGAACATCTCACCTTCATTTGACTAGCATTGATGTAATCATGATCTGGGGAGTCTAGTATCACACGGTTTCTCTGCACTAGGATGGTATGGAAACAGAATAACATTTTAAAAAGCGTTACGCTTCAATTAAACATTAATACTTACGAGTACGGGCAAATCCTCACATTCTGTGTACTGTTTGATGGTAATATTGTTTTTTTGTTAAGTAATTTTTCAAAACTTTTTCATTCTCTTGATATACATGACATACACACGGATGGATCGACTGAGGAATAGGGTCGATTCCCCGCTCCCGCCACTATCCATTCTCACCTTAAGAACAAAAGATGATTCGATATAACCTCTCTGCCTTCGTGTTACATTTAAGGTATTCAAAGCTTTGGGTATCCTCCAACTCCCGCACCACCTCCACCTTACACCGTCTCCTGTCAATCCTGAGACTCCCTACAGTGTTGTTTCATTTGCTCTCGACATCGTCATACCACGACGTTCTCTCTCTCTTTAGTCAAGAATCTACGACTTAAATTCGTGCACCAACAAAAATGCGGTTTCAAAATTGGTGCGTGTGAGTGCGTATGTGTGGTAGTGATGGAAAAGGGAACTATTCTGTTGGTCAAGTGTTGTGAGTGATCTCCATATACTTTGTGCAGGAGCTAAATGAGACTGGCATTTGAGAGTAGGGGTGGGGCCGGGGCAGGGCAGAGGATTTTCAATGAGGGGATGAAGAATCTGTGTCGGAGGGGAGATGAAAGGGGTGGCCCAATGTGTTCACCCAATTCTAGTGCAATCCATGCCAACAACGCATATCAAGACTCATTTCATAACGACAGCGTTTACAGTCCGGAGTCAAACTTGGATATATCACAAAATATTTTGTTGGATCCTAACATTACTTACATGGTAGGTTGTTCCCGTATCTATTCTTGGGGTGATTATCTGGAGTGCGTCCTGATCTTGTTTGAGAAGCCGAAGGATCTGGACAGAGGCTCTTCAAAGTCTGATTAAAATCAGAAAATATGATATTTCATACATTACGAATTACTTTAATAATCATCATCAACTTAAGTTAAGGTATATTTGTCACGCATGCAGAAATATAGATCCAGCTCTAATGTTAGCGTCTTTCATTCTGTAAATTTTATCTACCCAAGGGGATCTTCAAGGTGTTACACAATTGTATTATCTTGGCTTTATCCTAGCCGCCTCAAGGTTATGAACGCACTCAGGAAAATTCAGCTACTTTCTAGTAGGTACTCATTCACTGAACCTAAGTTTAGATAGCGCTGCGGGTGGGATTCGAAGAAAGGAAACATTCCCTTGATTCCCAGTGAGTGATTTACGGATCACGACAGCCCTAACATTTTCATTGTAAGATGATCAACTTATGATGATGATTGGTATGTGTTACCTGGAACTCCTTGGTCATCTTGGACCGTCCACGTCCGTCACCTGAAGTGTGTAAGTCTTGTAGATGATCGGTGAAATGAATGACAGGGATCAGGGTATTCCTCCAGAGAAGATCCTCCAGGACAGCCCCGTAGATGAAGGCATACTGCTCCTGTAATCATGTAAGGAACGAATGCTTTAAATTTGTATCAATTCCATCTCATCTACTAACACATTTTAGATTTACGACATGCGAGATTACGCGTACATCAGAATCAAAGCGTAGAACAAGCAATATCTTATACTCATTCCTTGTTAACGATCTTGATATTAAATTCATTCCCTTTGATACTTTGTTAATGTACATCTAATGATAGTAAATAAGAGAGTATTGAATATTTACATTGTAATAGAAGGATTTTCAATCATTCAAAGATTTATATAGTACCTACAGAGTATGAAGCATACGTCATTAAAGAAAACATGACCAAAAAACCCCAGCTGTTTAGATGTATATGGGCAATTCCACGGTAACGGAATTACATTTCAGAGAAATTTGGGCTCTATTTTGATATACTGTAGACAGGTGGTTAGACCTAGGTGATTATTTATCTTTTTATTCTTTCTGTATTATGCACCTGTTAGCAAATCAAATTAAAAAAAATTATTTTTCAACATTCGGAACACCCCAGGACCAAAAGTGTGTCGGTAACGGAATTACGGCAGAAAAATCAGGTTATTTTTTACACTAACTTTGAAAAGATTTCGTCTGAAATCTGCAGCCAATTGGGGGTGAAGTAATGCTAATAAAGAGAGCTTATATTGTTGACTGTCCCATGGCAAGATTTTTTTTTGTGAAGTTGTCATGGTTTATCTATGCGGAATGGTTTTATGAAAGAAGGTAGCGGTAACGGAATTACATTAATGGTAACGGAATTACGTCTTCTGAAATAAGCTTGAAAAAAGGTGATTTTGTAAACATTATTTAGGCTTAAATTGTTGTTTAATTGTTTCAGGGGTTGCAATAATTGATTTAAACTACAAAGCAATTCATATATGCACTTCATTTCTAAAAACTGTTGAAAAACATGTCTTTTATATTGTTAAATAGCAAGTAAATATGACATTTCTGAGCAAATATTGGTGTGTAGTGATTAAATTTATGTCAATATGTGTTATCATATACTAGTTTACAACTAATTTTAATTTGGTTTAGTTTGCAAGTAGGAACATCACACAAAGTATGACAAACTACATATATTATTGCCTATCTGGCGGTAACGGAATTACACATATACAGATCACTTTTGTGACCATACATGACAAACTGGTTGTGAAGTCGCCAAGACCAATTTATAGAAACAGGTCAATAAACTCCACAGTATTCAATAGGAAACAAAGGATATTCAATTGTTTTATTGACTATTGTGAGGGCCTATTAACCTAGCAAATACCACATGCAATACATTATTTCAAAGCTTATTTTATGCAGGTTTGATCAAAATCGATTGAAAATTGCAACATTACAACCTGTTCGTCGTGGATGGTTACATTTAAGCATTCAAACAATTCCAAATCACTTAAGTGCTACTAATAACACTGCCTACACCCAACACAGGGATCTTGATGTAAATTAAAAACAAAACACATGAATATTTATTTATAATGATTTCAGTCCATAAAGCCAACCACCATAATCTAAACTAATTATATAAAGAGAGCTTAATATAGCTATCATTTTGTCAACAGCGTTTCAATAATATTTCACACCAGAATTTGTAAATCATTCCCCTATCTCATATTTCTGTCGAGCCAATTTTTCAACCTGCTGAGCCAATTTTGCGACATTAATGGTAGAGCCTTAGAGGGAGCACTGGTTATCATTCTTTTAAAATTAATTACAAACCTTGTCAGATGATTCCATACTACAATTTCAATCCACAAAAGCTAGCACCCGATTCAAAACTAATTAATTAAGATAATGTCATCAACAGAGTTGCAATAAAATGTCAAACCTTGTAAATCATTACGCCAATTCACTAAATTGTTATCATTCTTTAATATTTGGTTATTATTCTTTTAAAATTAATTACATACTTGATCAGTGGTCTTGAATTTGTTACAACATGTAACAAACTTGACCATTGTCATCATTCTTCATTCCAAACAGTTATATTTTCTCTGAGCGTTAGCAATCTAGTCAAAGGCGCCCTGCCACCCCCCCCCTCCCCTTATGTTTAACACGTAGAGTATGGAAATTAACCGTCTGCAAGAGGGCCAGTCTGCTATGGTCGTAGCCATCTACACGTAACTTCTAATAAAATACATGTTTTTTGATAGATTAGACCTTCCCCTTCAACCTCCACCTTGTCACTTGTTAACGTATTTGCTCTGAGCGCTAGCGGACCTGTACAGTAAGTTACCCTGACACCTTCCCTCAGTCCCATATGTTTTACGTGTTACGAGTCGGCAAAGTAACCGTCTGCAACGGGACTAGTCCGGTACCTGCCAAAGCCTTTTTACTTTTTATTAAATATTTTTCGCTAGATTAGACCTTGCTTTTTCAACCTCCACCTACGTATAGTCATCGGCAAAGGTATTTTCTCTGTGTGCTAGCGGACTGATTCAAAGTCACCCCTCCCTCCCCCCCCCCTCCAATGGCCCCATCCATATAACGAAAGTGTCCGTCTGCAAGAAGACTAGTCCACTATGGTCTTTTATAGCCATCTAACTTTTAATGAATTATCCTTTTTTTGTTTTGGTAATTTACATGTATTGTAGACCTTGCTTTCCAACCTCCACCTAGCTGTTTTTTAGGGTGTTTTCGTGAGGTACTTTCTATGAGTGCTAGCGGACATTGTCAAAGTCACCCTGCCCCCCCCCCCCCCCCTTTCCCTTTAAAAGTCCCATGTATAATACGTAGAGTAGGGAAATTCACAGTCTGCAAGAGGGCTAGTGCGCTATGGTCTTAGCTTTCTAACTTCTAATGAAATTTTTCTCTCTTTTTTCAATAGATTAGATGAGATCAGTGAAGAATAAAAATCAGAAAAGGCACTGTTTAAAATCGCCATAGGTGAAATAATATGAAGTATTTCCATGCTTAAATCAAAAGGTTTCATAAGAGATGTTGGTACAATTTTAATTGCAAGTTCAGAGTGAATGAAAATAAACACATCTAAAATTCCCAGCCTAGTTTGTAGTCTTTATGCAAATTTGAAAAAAGTTTTTAAAAAACATTCATTGAACTTATCGAAGCCAGATCCTTAGTCTTTAGTTAGACAGTTAATATAATAAGCCACTACTTCAAAAAAGGGGGCAAAATCCATTAAAAATGTTGTAACACAGCATACATTATATGTACATGAGGCAGCAGGTCCATCTCTTGAAAAACGAACCACTCATTACTAATGCTGCTGCCCCTTGTAATTATGTTACCAATGTAATTCCGTTACCATGTAATTCCGTTACCAGTGTTTTGATAGGAACATAAGTAGATACTTCTGAAATTAATGTTTAGAGCTGTTGGTAGGTAGATAAAGGAAGAGAATTTGCAACTTCAAAAAAAAAAGTAAGAAATAACTTTGTGAGTAAAACTTCTTTCAAATTTTGGTAACGGAATTACGCCATTTTAAGGGTAAAATTGAAAAATCTCTCACACAAAAACTTTTTTCATTTTTTGAAAATAATTTGCAAATCTTGATTCCTATTTGTGATGTTGTTCAATTAGGAATAAATATAGAGGAATAAGTTTTAAATACATTGCTCCACTGAATTTTAAGAAATTAAATCATGATCATGTGATTGTGGCCCCCAAAATAGCCCCAACTTCAAATAAATTTTTCAGAAAAACCGTATAAGATATTTCAAAACGGTTTTCAGTTCCATCACAAGTGATTTCTTGACCACATGGAAAATGTTAAATTATTGAAGTTGGATCAAATTAAGAATTTGGTGATTTTCCTCTTTCCCATACGGAATTGCCCATATGCATATTGATATTGTTTTTAATTCCACATCTTGTCATGTAGAATAAGGATAAAGCCAGTCCCCGCAAAAGTATGCACACATTAGATTGAAATCCATTGCTCTTATCAGTGTCTAAACTAAAAAGATTGTGTGTCCAACGGCAGCAGCAGTTGATGTATGTTTTAAGAGGTAACTGACCTGTGTTTGGACCATGTATGGTCGTTTCTGTCTCATGTTCGTCACGAAGTTGAAAACATCTACCATTCTAGTTCTCTTGGCGTGAGCTACGACGCTATCAATACTGGTTACCACGCCTGTTCGTCCAACACCAGCACTGGATAGAAAATATAATGAAAAACTAATAAGTCATGTTGTCGAAATGTGATTTTTTTTTTCCAGCACAAAATCGCATTTTCTCCGGATTTAACGATGTGCGCGCACATTAGCTATTGGACGATAAAACAAAGTCAGCAAAATATTCAAGCAATTTCAATTGAGATAGGCATAAGTTTAGGACACAAGATTTCCCTGTAGCAAAGCCCGATCCCTATACCATCTAAACAAATTAAGAAGTTTTTTTTCGGCTGAAATCTACTGTTGTCATTCTTTTTTTTCTCATTATCGTTGTATTTCTTAAACACTATCATGATCTTAAAGACTTTCGAAAAAAAAGAAACCTTATCCAATTTTAATAGCCTTGTTCGTCACCTTTAACAATGTGCGAGCATTAATTACGATGACGTGTTACGTGATTTCCGAAAGCAATACTATAGAGTATCAGAATTGCCATTGAGTTGATTTCTTGAAGGTCTTGACGATGGTGTTTGTGGTACTTGTTTTGATCTAGGTGAAATGGACCAAGAAACCTACCTGCAATGGATGATGAGAGGATGAGTGTACTGTCCATGATCAGCTTTGACTTCCTTGATGAACTTGAGCAGTGATGAGGTGTGTTTAGGAACACCCTTGTCAGGCCACTCTGTGAAGTGGAACTGTGTAACTCTCCTCGACTCTTCACCCTGTTTTAAAAGTCACAACGAAAGAAATATAAACCTCTGTAAAGTATGATTCTGAACAATTTTACCGCGCAAACAAAAAATCCTTTCCGAACCGATGGCATGAAAATATTAGCTTTTCATTGCTGTTTCATAAAATACATTGACATTGAGTTAAACAGGAACTGGTAGAGAAATCAATAGGTCTAGAGAACAAGGGGTAGACCAAGATCAGAAAAACGATTTCAAACAATCAAATATCAATGACGCAATGTATCCTTTTCTCAAAGAAATATTTGGTGTATATCTAGGGGAGATGGTAAACTTCTAGCAGAAAAGACACATGTTTACAAAAAATGAAAATGAAAAGCTTGATTTTGTCTCATTTGATATTTCTTCAAATGCGATTAAATGCCAAAAATAACGCAGTGCTGACAATATTTATCGTGATAAACATTTATTTATTAATTTATTCATTTGTAACTATTTATTTATTTTGTTTTATTTACTTAGGGTAACCCCATCAGTGAGTACACACCGTTATACTCGGGGCCTCGGGGGCCCTGCAACATTCCCGAGTACATGTACACCTACCTTGCGCATAACCATCCTTCTTGCCACACCGCCTGTACATGGTTCAAGTTCCATTAGTTCTACTTTGATTGTTCCAAACTCCACTGATTGTCCTTTCCGATCTGGCCAGTACTGACGGCATTTGATCTGTTGAAACAAAGAGCGACAGATCGATCAAATTCCAACACGATTTATCTACAGTATATAGGCATAAGGTTGGAGAAGCTATGTGCTACTGAGGGGAGAAACAGATGATGAAACACCTTTTAGACTTACCCTTCCAACGAGATTCCTGGACTCCCACAGACCTGTAATGGTTTAATATCATGGCCAGATTTTGGTTCATGCACTGGACGTGGCTCGTGTAGTGGCTCGAGACGAAGAACATGGGTATAAAAAAGTCGCAACTGTATTTCAGTTTAATATTATCCTACCCCACCTATAAAAGAGTGACTATATTTCTCTCCTTAACTAAAAAAGACGTTAAAGGGATTCCACGCTGAGGAAATGAATAATTTAAATGTTCAACGGTTAACTTCTCATGATGTAAAATGAACTATAAAAGAGAAAACAAACTAAAAGGATCGAGCCATACCGTTGATACAATAAATGCATGGGCGGTTCAACTCCAGTTCAAAATAAGGCCTATATTCTGCCTTGTCTACATTTCACGCTTTAACTCAACACAGTCATCAATATTTATTACTATTGGTGACGGTTAATATCAACACCAACAACAAAAGAAATACGAACAAAGATTGTTAAAGCAGTGCATGCAAGTTCCTTTTAGACTTACCCATAACAGCTTCATAATGGTCAATTCACCGTTGAATATGGCACTGTTAACAACACTTGTCAATGTAAAAAGCTAACAGTAGAATCCCAAAATACCCTCCTAAGATTCAAATATATTCCATATTTCAAAGATGAACAAGTTTTACTGACCTTATCTCCTTCCTGGAGCTTCGTTACCATGGCAATAGTCGTCACATTCTCCTGCCAGACCATCCTCCAGAAATCATCCATAGAGGTCTTGTTCGGTCCTTGGAGAAATATTCAGTAATGGCTCATCAGAAATTAACCTTTTGCACTATGTTGTAACTTATCGGATAACCGACTGCTTTATATTATTGAATAATGATTTGACTCTATCTAATTTTGCATTTCATAGACGAATAATAGATTAACTTGAAATAGAGTTACGAAAAACCTAAGTCACACAAATTTTATTTACAAATTACCACTTGTTAAACGTGACGAAGAGAGTAGAATAGACATACCTTGTGATGCAATGTAAGCCTTGTCATCGTCAAAACTCTGCGTGTGAAGAATAACATTCAATTGATCAAAAATAGATTAAAATGAAACTGTACATATATCAAGGCTTAAGGAAAATTTTGGTCTCTGTTTATAGCACAACTTTTTCCGCAGGAATTAAAGAAAAATAGAAAAAAAGATCAAGAAAATCCAAGTCATATGAGGAATGAATTACAGCTTCAACCAATAGTGGGATTTTCATTACATGTGTGTGTGCGTTTGTGTGTGTGTACATGTGCGAGGGTGTGTATTGAATATAGATCCAGCGTAGACAACATGTATTCTACATCATGTAGTCTGTAAATTCTTGCTGCATCCAGGTTATATAACAAGATTTTATTGTGCTTTTATTCTGTCACGTTATTTCATTTATATCATTCATTTAAATTAGACCCTTCCTTCAACGACGACCCACTTTATAACATCATAATGAAATTACATAGTAATGACAATTTATTTACAATTAATGTATAGATAAATTGATACATGCCACCTTACTTACGGGAATGTAAGAAGCGTTAAAGTAATCGGAATGAGGGATATCGTCGATTACTTCTAACTTCACCCTCGCCGAATCATCTGGATAAAAGATACAAATGTTTATTTTAAAAAAATAAGTCAGCCAGTAGCTTTTAATGAAAATTTCTTCGATTAGTAATTTTGTCTCTTATTTTCGTTATCATTTTCCGGCAGAGTAACTAAAACATCAAATTGAACAATAAATTTAAAAAAAAAATGTTTTTTAGGTTTTAAATGCAGAGATTTGACAATGGACATCAACTCTTTTCTTCTTTTAAATTAAGATTGTAAACTTGCAACATCTATTTACAGAGATTTAAATTTCATATTCTAAATATAGAATTATGAAATGGAACTATTAACATTCATCAGAACATACATTGGTACACTTTAAGTCATTCGAACTGTGATGCTCCATTGCAGCAACCACCGCTACAGTTGCAAACTACTATTATTAAAACAACGATAAATACATTATCTAGACTGAGCTTCACCGAACCAAACCTTTATAGCTATTACAAACAAGTCAACAACATAATAAAGGCCATGTTATTTTGTGTACTCACATGGTAAAATATTCTTGTATCTGTTTTTCTTGAAGTTGATCTGCTCTCGAGCCACGGTCTGAGGATAGATGTCTGGGCCAGGTAAGTCCTTTGGGAGAGAAAGGAAATATAATCTCAGTTTTAGTTTATTGTTTCACATTTTGCATATATTAATATTATCAGAAAACACTACAAATAAAGATGAAGTCTTGTATCGGAGACTAGAACAAAAGGCGGCTGACATCAAATCAGCTTGATTGCATGAATTATGAAATGAAAAGTTGCGTTTAAGAAAAGGGAAATATGGAGGAGCCTATAAGTGAAAATAAATATTATAATGCCCACGGCGATATATTTCTGAAATGAATTGATATGTTTCGTTACTAGTCATACCAGGAACCTAGAAAGATCATCTAAGGAAAGGAATCTGGAATGGCATGATATTTGTGGAACAGCGGCTGATCGAACACAATGCTGAGAGAGCTTGCTACCCAGTGTTCTCAACAGCACAATGTAGTCTACGAGTAGCCCACATGTGCATGCCAAAAAGATTTGTCAAGCGCGAAACCATAAAAAGAAGACAAGTTTCTTGCCCGTTTCTTGTAAATAGAAATTTTCTTCATTAAACCTACATGAAATTCCTCGGAGAAGAGCGCAGTGTGTCTGTTCTTGTTGACGAACGCGGGAAACTGAGCCACGGGTATCGGTTCACGTGTACCAATAGGTTTGTTGCTAGATCTTTCCGGAGATCCATCGGTGAAATCAAGGTCTAAGGATTTAGTTCTCCTTACATCGGGCTTGACGGCTACAGCTGGTTTGGGTCTTGTGCTCCTTGGAGTTGTGCGCTCCGAGTTCAAATTGGAGGCGTTTCCACTGTAGTCATTTTCTGACATAACACATACAGAAATAAAGAAATGTAATTTTACTATTCTTTTTAGGAGGAAGAGGCCTAGGTTGGTACAACGCAGAATCAACCTATATTGCAAATAACTAAATAAATCCTTAGTTCCTTACACTTGATTCATTTTTACTTCTTCCAAAAAGTTGTCTTGTTTGTGACATTATGAAACAATGTAGGGCACAATCACTATTGGGCACAATTGAATTGTAAGAATTGTATGGGGTTAGGAATATAGAATATGTAATCTCTTTATTGTCAATTATATTGTCGTTTCATGCTATTATGACGGCTATATTTTGTCACCCGATCATAATACTTAATATCTAAATATAAACCTACCTTCTAATGACGTGTCTTGAAAACCAGCTGATGCCTGAAATTGTTCCTCGATGTTTCCTGTTTTAGAAGGATTACCATCATTTCTTTGAAAATAAAATAAAAAGATTCAGTGCAAGCTATCGAAAGCGAACAATAAGTAATCAGAAGAGAAATTTATGAGAGCTGGTAAATATCAGACTTTTAGAAGAACTATATCGGTAGAGTATTCATTGAAGAGAGAAATAGAGAATTAAAAGAGTGTTGATAGACATTGATTTCCCAATTTTCCTTTTCTGCTTGGTCTTAAAGTCCGTACATCAATATTGTTTCCACTTCCATCGAAAGTATGGTAGTACTCAGAGTGGATTACGGTATAATTACGGTATACGTGAGTGACAGCATTCTACATGGACATTTCTAATGGTGACTGAAATATAGAAAACAGGGCACAAACCTTCGTCGTTTGAACACGATGATGACTACAATGATGACAATCAAAATGATCAGAATGCCGCCCACGGCTCCCCCAACTGTCGATGCTATAGGACCCATAGCTATAGGACCTCCAGTCATTCCTGCAGTCGAAATGGTTGATGGGCCCAGTGTGGTGGTTATAACAGGAAGTGCATTTGTGATCAAACGAAAGAAAAATGAAATAAAAATTGTACATATTCATTCAGGAAAATTGTCAAATTAAGTTCAGTTTGCCAATAATTATGTTTCTATTCAACCCCTGTATGGTAACAATCTCTTCCGCCACCAATAAGGAAGACAATCTGTATTCGATTGATCGGAACTTTAAAAATTAATAATTTTCCTATTTTCAATCAAAATTTGCTCAAACCTTTACTGACCTGTTGCTCTCACTTTTCTGCTTCCATTAAAACCAACTCAATATCAGGGTAGCCTTCCCCCTTATCATTTTGACAACACGCATAACAGTGTTTTTAACACAAAATGTATTACAGTTAAAGAGCACGCGCGCTTAAAGATAAAGTTGAGTTCTGGTCATGCGATTGCATTGTGAAATAAACGTTGTGGAATCGATCAGAAAGGTTGATCATCTAGCATATAAGTATTGGTGTGTGGGGAAGGTTCTGGAATCATCAAATGATAAGAAATTTGGCCCAGTCTTGGGAAAGTTACAAGCACTGTACACAGAAAGATGTATATGGGACTACACAAACATGTGGCATAAAAATCCGTCCCGATTTGTATGATGTTACATGCCATATTTAGAATATCAAGGCATTTGAAGAGCTATGCTTTTCAGGGAACATTTTTTTATCTGATGTTCTTCCAAACTTGCATAATACAATGATAACGCTCACAAATTGTTTTTCACCTCTTCCCAGAACTCAACCTTCTCCTTAAGTAAGAGGAAATCGCATATAAAAGTCGCGATATTGTTTAAGTTGTTACGGTTTAATGGACTTTATGACAAGATGAGAGAAAATTAAACCCCATTAGAGAGGACCCCGAGGTGTGTCAAGCTGGAAAGCATAAATTAAATTTGCAAAGTTTGAGCACGTATCTTATATTTTGTCCTGTTTATTCATAGAGAGCATTTCATTTATGTAAAGGTATGGCCGAGGGTAGCTGTCCGTAGAATAGTTGTTGTAATATTATAAGTATATCCCATGTTATTAAACTGTTACAAACACAATCGCAGAGACTTTTGGAAAGTATAGCCTGATCTGTGCGAACATTGCAATGTCGCGTTGTATATCTGACCATATTTTCTATGAGATATGCAAAAGGGTATTGAAATTGAAGTTGATTTTCGAAAGCCTTTGTACTGGTGTTCATGGTACTGGTAAGCAAGCCTTAGAATGTCATGTGCTTTATCTTAATATCAATGTCACACCATTTTGAGAAAGAGAGAGGGGTGGAGAGATAGAGGGATAGGAGTACAGAGAGGGGGAGGGAGAGAGAGGAAGGAAGGGAGGGTGGGATGAAGGGTGAGTAAAAAAAGGATGAAAATGGCTCATAAGGCAGTGGGAAATACATTATAGAACCTACCAGTGGCGTACGCAGGATTTTTTCAAGGGGGGGGGGGGGGGTTTATAATCGGGTCCAAAATTTCGCAACGACTCAGGAAAATTTGAAAATTGCGCCGGCCAAAAAGTCGCTCAGTGGGGGGGGGGGGGGGGGGTTGGGGGGGGGGGGGGGGGGGTAAGCGGACACTTTTTTTTTTTTTTAGGGAGTCCAAAAAAAAATCGCAACGACTCAGCCAGCCGAAAAGTCGCTCAGTTGGGGGGGGGGGGGGGGGGGGGGGGGGGGGGGGGGGGGTAAGCGGACACTTTTTTTTTTTTTTGGTCCCAAAAAAATCGCAACGACTCAACCGACCGCTGAATAAGCGGGGGGGGGGGGGGGGGGGGGGGGGGGGGGGGGGGGGGGGGTAAGAGGACACTTTTTTTTTTTTTTTGGTCTCGAAATATGAAAATTTGACATTTTGCTCCGTTGGGGGGGAGGGTAAGGTCACCTTTCTTAGGTCAGCCATGGAGGTAATTTTTTTTTTTTTTTTTTTTTTTAATTAAAAAAATCCAAAGGGGGGGGGGTTTAGGTTTTTTTTAGGGGGGTTTTCACACGTAAAAATACCAAAGGGGGGGGGTTTAACCCCCCAAACACCCCCCCCCCTGCGTACGCGCCTGGAACCTACCACTATCAGTTGTAAATGTCATTGCTGGTCCTTGTTCTCCTTCACCGTTGATACCATCTCGTATCGCTGCAATCTGAACGGAGTACGTTGATCCTGCTTCAAGTCCACTGACGTTATACATGACCATCTCAGCGGCATTCTCAGTAGACCTCTTCGATACGGAACGGTCCGTCATGGGGACCATGCTTGGGGGTTGTACTTCTTTTTCCGACACGACATTGCTACCTGATAGCACGTAGATCTTGTAGCCAACGATAGGTCCTTCCCCGGTATCATTGCTAGGGTCCCATTGTCTCCAACCGATGAATGCATGGTATCTTCCAAATTCAATTATTTCTGGTACACCATTAAAACTTGGTAAAACTACAAAGTGTAAAAAAAATAAACAAAGAAACAGTGGGTAAAAGTATAGTACGCATTTATAGTAACTCAATGGTTTCTTTCTTCGCCATCCGCCCAGAAAATAAGATAAAAAATAAGCAGGTAATGAACAACATTGATTGTACCAAGAAAGCTTGTAACTAGTATTTCAGTATACTACCTGCAATTTATTACATTGAATACATTATTTACAAGATGTAAATATGGGACATAATCTTTTGAAATTATTATGTGAAATATTTGAAATACTAATAAACATACGTGCATTATGGAAAATGACCCGGCTCAAATCCCGTTTACATTTCTGAATAAATCTTGAAAGTAGATCAAGATTAAAAAAAACTGAACTTAAAATATATTACAAAGCTGATCAGGAAGTATTAACTATTATGCTTGGAAGGCTTTGTGTGTGTTACATGGAATCGTTTTTAAAATGCATACATGTAGATCATCTAAGAACTTGTAGAGTACAACATTGAAAATGTCGCAATAGATTGCAGTGGGGACTGCTTACCAAAGTAATATCTTGGAGGTAACCTTACGAAAGCAAACTGTGATGAATTATCAGGTACCCCGATGAAGCAGTAAATTGGTTCTTCTGGCCCCGTATACTCGTGGATGAATGAAATATTGAGGGTTGGTCCTGATGTGTCAGAGCTATTACGAGATATCCAGGGTTTCGTAAAAGACCTTCCTACAGCTGCCTTCACATAATCAGAGGAAAGATTTTGCCCTGATGACGCTGTGAAGGAACAAGAGAAGATGAAGATCGCTACTCCTGGATTGGTCTTTTCCAAGCTCGTCTCAAAACGATCTAAATTTGTTGAAAGAACACAACAGCATAATGAAACGAGTAAAACAGTTCAACAGACAGACGGAGAGGAAGAGAGAAATAGTGCAAGGGTATGACACAATTTTAAAAACTTTCAAATATATGAACTTAAAGGCAATATCCATACTCCACTGTACAGCGAACATTCATAAACTTCTTTCAATTTTTTTAGCATGTCATTGCCATGAATTAGTACAATATTGATAGATAATGATGAAAGGTTATGTGTTACATAATCATGAGGACTGAACTGCGTTCTTCTTCTTCCACTTCCATTCGAGTACATACTTCTTCACAGAGTATTGTCGTACTATACTGGGGTGTGCAGGTGGACCACTACAGCGGGGTTTCCCCCTACACTCATACGAATAGTGCAGAGGGTTCTTAATGTACAAAGGTATTGACTCTTCTCTACACGGGGCCTCCATTTAACGTCCAATCAAAATATATATTCTTCTGTGCTCACTGCTTGACTTAGATAAGCAGCTCGTAATTATTAATGAATGTGTTTTTTTTATATTAATGAAAACTATGTAATATGGAAGAATTTAATTATGTTGAATTTCCCTAATATGTCAGACACTTGGCAGGAGAAAGGTATTTCTTTCAATCCTAGCTACCTGTTTGGCATTGATCCCCCATCCATCTTGGATGACAGGTGGATGACATACAATCACCATTCAAAAAGTTACAATCCTCAGCACCACCAGAACAATGACATGTCTTTGAACAAGAGCTGAAACATCCTGAAACTAAACAAGATAGATACATTGCATTATGAGGACATTCTATCTTCCATAAAACCAGAATTTCAATTGAAAGGAATAAAGGGATATCGCATAACATTTGTGAAAAATTTGATTTCATGAGAATAAACAGATACAAATGTTCAAGTATACTTCTACAAAGCATTTTACATGTGTTTCAAATATCTAATCTTATTAGTAAACAAGTTTAACAACGGGTATTAAGAGCTGTTTGTTACCTCAATTCAATTCATTTTTTCACTCAATATATAACAACAGATACATAAAATGGAGTATGAACGCATATGAAAAATATAACAAGATGGACATAATGGAAACATAAGTAATATATATATTGAGTGGGGATCAGATTAAAGATCTATTTCAAGATCTTGTGAATTTGACCCAATTGTGATGTATAAATTGCATTGAATATTTTGCATGTACAACAACAAGAGGGAATGAATACATGTACATAATCAGCTGGGTCTGGGGATGTTAATGACGTAATATCAATGTATTCCAATAATTGTCAAAAAATATACATGGAAATGGGTTTGCTAAATTGATATATCGTTAAAATGGTAGGGACTTTCATGCGAGCATTCGTTTGTAAACTTTGATGTATTTCAATTTAAAATATCACTAAGAATAATCTTACATGTCATACAGTTGGCTGGAAACTCGACAGAGTCAGGAACATATCCCAAGTCGCACCGCCCTTCAACCTCGGCACAGTATCCAGAATCTTTGCGGCATGCTGTGCCATTCCTGCAATTGCATTTCTGTGTACAGTTAGACCCGAAGTATCCGTTTGGGCAAACAGAAGGAACTAAAATGAGAAAATATACATTTTTTAAAATAAAAAATAAAAAATAATTGAAAAAACACAAGTCACGGGCAATATAGTTAAGAGAAGGACCATCCTTTAATATGTATACTTATTTACTGTTTCTACTCGAGACATTTACTTTTTCATTGCGTTAAAAAGAGGAACAGAATGAAGGCAACAAGTAGCTTTATTCCGTAGAGAAAATGCAAATATCCTCTCGTTTCCTAGAGATGGAATGAAATTGTGGCATAGGAATATTCTACAAAAATTGGCTTTTTAAATGAAAACTAAAAGGTATTGCGTTGGTAGAAATAATCAACATGAAAGTCTTGGACTTATCTGGGGCGTTTCTTTTACCAAGGAAATAATAATAATGAGCATTGTTATGAACGTTCATATGTCATTTTGAATTAAATTAAATGATTGTACCTTGACATGCTGGCCCAGACCATCCTAGCGAGCAATCTCCAGTACATTGTCCAGTGACGTCATCACAATCTGCTTTATCAGTACAGTGACATTCTTGACCACAATCAGCTCCAAACACACCGTCTGCACATGCTGTAAGATGAGAAAGACGAGATATTACGAGTTTCATGAATCTGTTGACATATTGTTTAATGAATTTGCTCCCCAGAACATTTTAATTCGCATGTGACCTAAGCATATTTTTGTTCAAGTAATACACAGGTGTCCATTCTAAAATCCTGATAAATTTCATGCATATATAAATCCGCTGTTCGTCTATATACATATTGATGTAACACCATATTTATCTCCGACGTGTAATCCATTTTAGACGAATCCTGTGAAAGGGTTTAGATTTTAACCATACTTGTCCGTACATATTGTATAAAACACAAGTTCAAAACCATTGTTGTTTAAAGGTTTCTGATTTCTTCCCAATGCCAATCATTATAGAATTAGTTTTAGCACGACTTACTTTCATTGCAGTAGACTCCTGTATATCCAGCTAAACAGTTGCACCCATAAGGATCAGGCAGACAGATCTGACTTCCAGCACACTTGTCCAGAGGCTGACCGGGTCCACATTCAAACTCACAGTCCCAGCCAAACTTATGCATCCCACACGCTGCATGGAACATATATATAATTCAGAGGGTTTAATTTATGTATAAATCATAAGTTCTAAAAGGGTCTTTTCTCCGAATTATCAATGTTTATCTTCATAATAAGTGTAGACTTTAAAAACCCTGTCGGTCGACAATGAACGGAAAAATATTTAACAATTTCACTGCTGATAAACATCGAAATCAATTGTATGTTATGTTATAATATTCATTTTTATGAGTTTTGTTTTATCAAAATAATTATTAATTATTAATTATTATTTTTATTTTCATCATCATCATCATAAGCCTTCTTCTTCTTTCTCTTTTCCCTTTATTCTCCTTCTTTTCTTCTTATTCCCTTTTTGATTGTTATCGTTGTTGTTATTATTATTCAGAATTACCATCATAAAACGATAAGTATCTAATCGTAAAGATTCATCTTAAAGGCAAAGAATGTATTAGATAAAGACAAAAAGGTTTATATATTAGTATTTTCTTCAGGGATTTCGAGTTTACCTTGGAGGCAGTTCTTTCCAGCATGGCCAGGAGGACAGATGCATGTTCCTGAGAGTTCGTGGCATACACCTCCATTATAACAACTATCACACAAACGATTGCATAACGGCGGATTCCATCTTCCATACGGGCACTCTGTTAACGCAATGAAACATTAACAATAGTACATTAAAGGGAAAGTCCACCCTGAAATTAAGTTAGTTTTAATAGGAGTAGAAAAATGAGAGAAACGAGTCAGTGAAAGTTTGAGCAAATTCCGATTAAAAATAAGGAAGTTAGGATTTTTGAAGTTGTGCTCAATCAAACACAAATTGGCAACTCTATGACGTATCATGCGAGCTCAACTTCCATTTGCTCAGTACTAAAAAAATCTAAAATTTTCATTTTCCTCAAGAAAAATTTCAACCATACATGCACCCTAAATATAATAATTGCAAATATGTTTCTATACTCCCCTGCAAGGAACAAATATATATTCCGTCATCAATAACGAAGAAAACATGATTTTATGGAATATTATGCACAAAGCAAATGAAGGAGAGCTCGTATAATAAGTCACAGAGTTGCCAATTTGTATTTGATTGATCACAACTTCAATAATTCATAACTTTCTTATTTTCATTCAGAATTTGCTCAAACTTTCAATCACCTGATTTTCTTATTATTCTGCCTCTATCGAAACAAACTTATTTTTGGGGTGGACTTTCCCTTTAATGTTTCTAGGACAATTACCCCCGGACAATCACCCCCTCCAAGAAAAACAACCCCTCGAGGACAATTACCCCCCCCCCCCGCAAGGACAATAACCCCCCTTGAAAAATTACTACCTTGGACAATACCCTCCCCCGAGGACAATAACCATCTGAAAAAACCACTTATTATCAGGGTGGACTTCCCCTTTAATGAACAGGAAGAATTTTCCGGGGGAATTGTCCTCGGAAGTGGTTGTCCTTGGTTGTCCTGGATGATTATTGTCCAAGGGGGTAAATTTCTGGGGGTAATTGTCCTAGGGTGTAATTGTCCTAGAGGGTCATTTTTAGGGGTAGGTAATTGTCCTCGGGAGATAATTTTTATGGGGTAATTGTTCTCGGGGGGTTATTGTCCTTGGGGGTAGTTTTCCGGGAGGTAATTGTCCGGGGATGATTGTCCAGGGGGTAATCGTTATGATACTTTCAATCATTAGTCCATTGTACAAAGTTAGAACTGCACAATTAGAACATGAAGCTGTTACATATGAATTCTTGTAAATCCTCAATTAGACGTAATACTGCAGAAACTGTCATTCAATTATGGAAATTACAATTTTACATTATATTCTTTACTGTCTCATTAACCGAATATATCTGGTCGGTTCTAGTTGGGTTTTCCTGATTTGTTATATTACATTTGAATAATGGTTACAGAGCTGAAGGGAGAATTGTTCCTGTAAAAGAAACATCCTTGCGAGCAAAATGTAATGATATATTTTCGACGTGTAAGGTAGGAGGAATCGAACCCTTTACGATGAGTCTTATGAAGCTGAATTGATGTTGTTCCAACGTTCCACCCTCGTAAGTCGCATACACACCGGCGTCTGAGACAGATGCAGATTGGATTGTGTGTGATAGACTACCAGAACTCATTCCGATAAGTGAATTAGCCCAGTCTACATCAGTGACTTTCCGCCATCTGATCCCGTCTTCACCTACCATCCCTGTCGTGCTCATCACACTGAGTGTGATATCATCTCCAACGTGTACTGTCTTTGTAAACCGACCATCACTGGGTTGCCATTGGCCTACGAAATGAAGAAAGACAGATAAGAAAGGAAAAATCGACAATTCAATCTCACATTTGAATCTTATTTTTTCTGATTCATTAATATTTCGTCATTGCTCCATTCATATTCTTTCTTTTTCTCTCCCTCTTATTCCATTAATCCTCCGTCATGTTTACATTTGCATTGACAAAAGGTTCTTAAGAAGTAAAAGTAGGTAATATTATTGCAAAAGTATTAACATTGATGGTATTTTTAGGAGTGTTCGAATTTCAACTTATTTAGAACATTTCCTATTTAAAACATATTTACAATAAGTTGAATTTGTGTTGTATATACTCATAAAACATAGGCCAATGTGTAATCTTATATACGTACGGGTAGAGAGAAAAATGCCAAGCGGAGCAGATGTCATTCTACTGTCTGTCACCGCAGAACATTCGAAAAATCCCAAGCCTTCCATAGTAGTTGGAAGAGTCTGCCTTAACACTACAGATGATACAGTATCACTCTTTCCTGGAGCTGTGTAACTATTGGAATTTATAGCCTCGGTCAGACGGACAAGTCTTCTGGTGGACAATGTGAGAATCTTTTCATTCTCTGAGCCGAGTAGACAGATAAATGACGCATTCACCAGACCTCCTCCGTAGGGGGATGGAGTAGCTGCCATTAGACGCACAGGAAGGATCTGTCGCGGACCTATGGGAAATAATTATTTTTTCAAGTAATTGGTGTCCGCCCGGCATCTTCATTAGAGGAGAAGTATGGGGGAATATACATAACGTTGACAAGGCAATGACTTATCTCACACTTCAACCTTACATTTCATATATTATATTGTTCTTGCTGTTCCATGCAAATCAATTTTTTCATATATATATTTTATTAACAAAGATACTTCCACTCCTAAAAATGAATGGTATCAAAATCTATGGGAAACACAATCTAAATGATATATGATACTTAATGAAGTCAAGTTCCTCTCGAGTTATCAACTGTAGATAAACCCTAAATGAGTAGGAATGTTTAATACGCAGATTTCATATCTCATATGATGAACTATTTTCCTATTTTACCTTAAAATAACGGTACAACTATGGCTCTAAAACAGTGGTTTCAAAATATTAGAATGTCACCAATTGGATAATTGTTTCGTTTGTGGCATTTTGAATTAAAGGTGGACGGGCATCATTTGAGCATGGACTACCATAAAGGGTACCCTATATAATAGAAATATAATGCGAATACTCACTCGGAGGTTTTTCACATGCGAACCTGAGGTACGATGTACATCGGAGTTTTCTCCATCCATTATTAACCTGCTGATGAACACATCTTCCATTCTCAAATAGGGTTGCATCACCATTCGACCAAGCAGGAAATCTGGAAAGGTAAATTATGTTCCGAACAGCAACGTATTAACACAGTTTCAATAAAAGATATATTTACTTTAAAGGGCATAATCATGAAAAGTTAAAAGGGTTATGTGAGCGTTTTGATTCGAGCTTCAGCTAAAATATATATTAATTATAATGTAAATATAAACAAGTATGCCTTTCTTGCAAATCATGATCAGGGCTTGCATTTTAGGCTCCAGGAGGTCCGCATAAAAAAAAAAGGTCGAAAGTAAGACAAATTCATTATTTTTCCGGGGGAAGGGGGTGCCATCAATCAATTGGAAAACTCATCCTTAGCTTCATGAGTATCAACTTGTATCTCAGATAATCGACCGACCGATTAGTAGCCTGCTCGGTTGCCGCTGGAATTTGGGCATCGCCCAACGATTTTTAGAGAAGTCGAGCAGACTGTAGAGCCCCAGCAATGCCTGGGCGGTGCCCTGTCGATTTCACGTCGGTCGCCGGTCGATTTTAGGTCAAAACTGGGCGAAATCGGGGAGCTTCTCCGGGCGGCGTCCCGGCAATGACCGACAGACGACCCACCGATTCCCAAGCGGTCTCCCACTAGTCTGCAAGCACAAACCCTGGTCAGTCGTAAAAGTGAGTCAGCATTATAAGACTACCATAGGCCATGTGCTTGCTTTTTAGGGCATCGCTCGTTCGCCACTGAAGTTTTAGCGCGGAATTAAAATTCGGCGGCGCCTGCTCACTTTTCACTCGCCGCCAAAAATACGCTCGGTGCCCGGGCGGTCGCCGCCTAGGCACCGACCTAATCGAGCGTTCGCCGTCGAGCGATTTTGGTCAAATATCGAAGCCGCTAGGTCAAAGGCTGCCGAGCGGTCGCCGCCAAGTCGCTGCTCGGTCGTCGCTTGGAGATCAGTGGTCACTGGGCGGCGAGTTCAAAATCGGTCGGCAGCCTTTGACCTCGCAGCTTCGATTTTTGACCTATATCGCTCGACGGCAAACGGTCGATTAGGTAGGTGCCCGGCCAGCCGGGCACTGAGCGTATTTTGGTGCCCCGCCGATCACCGGCCGGCCGCCGGGCAATTTCTTGAAAACAAGCCGGTGGCCGGTGGGAGACCGCTCGGGAATTGATGGGTCATCAGTCGGTCACTGCCGGGACGCCGCCCCGGACAAGCTCCCCGATTTTGCCCAGTTTTGACCTAAAATCGACCGGCGATCGACGGGAAATCGACAGGGCACCGCCCAGGCATCGCTGGGGCTCTACAGCCTGCTCGACTTCTCCAGAAATCGTTGGGCGATGCTTAAATTCCAGTGGCGACCTAGCAGGCTACAAATCGGTCGGTTGCCGCTCTGAGTTGTGACCATAGCTTTTGTCATGAATATAGGGTGTGTGAGACATTGTTGTGTGTGTATGTATGAATAAAACAATTTAACACATACTCATTACTGTCGAGTTGAGTGCCATCAATCCATTTAAACGTGCCCTCTTGATTGATATCATCGAGTCCAAACCAATAAGAGTTGTCTCCAGCCAGCTTCATGAGATGCATCTGGTGAATACATTGAGAGAATATATAAGAAAGAGAAAAATCACCGATGATTACTTCTAATGTGCCATTATCATGGTAGTGGGATAAATTTATCGATGTCTATAGTATATGACATCATTAAAACTTGAACTAGTTGAAATAAGATATAATTTTGTTTCCTTATAATATGCCCATCACAACAATATCATGCTGCTCTATTACCCGTTTCCGATTGTTTTCACATAACCTAACATATTCTCTATTTCTCTTACATTAATTTTATTGTTTATATTTTCTTTCCTTTTTTGCACACATTATTGCTAAATTATGAAACGCCCGTAACAAGTTGTATCACGTTTTATTTACACGTTCCATACTTGGAATTAAACTTGTTAATATCACGATGCGTCCTTACATTGATTTCTTCTGTTTTAGGCTGGGCAAGATCACCTCCTTGAGCTTGGCAGTACTTTCTAGCAAACGAGTAGGATGTCATCGAGGATTGAGAGATATAGTACAGGGTTCCATCAAGGCGACTCCACTCATTTTCAGGAACATCTACATATTGATTATAAGAAGATGATTGCCATTATTAGGTGTTCATCGTGTTTTGAGACAGAAAGACGAGAGACTTACTTCAAAACATTATTCATAATTGTATTCATCATGGTCATACTAATAAAACACCTGACATTTACATTGCTATGAATGCGATGAATAACACATTATTATAAACATTTCTCTACTTCCAAATAATGCAGGTGTCATTAATCCCGTTTTTAACCGTAGCTCTCAGCGCTCAGTGCATTCAATGAATAAATCCTACCAAGTACCCACTTACTACACGTGGGTCGAGCGTGGCAAAAGTGGATTAATGTCTTGACAAAGGACGATAGTGATGTAGCAGGGATTCTTAACCCTCTCCTTGTAGCATGTAGGATAAATATGATGCATACGATTTTTGAAAGGTTGTGAAATGCGGAAAATAACTTAATAAATTCCAACTCGCTTGACATCCTCGCACAATTGTATTTTGTCATGATCACGTAAATTTACATGAATAAAATCGATACGAGCACAAGCTTCGCTCTCTACAGTGTAATTTTCATCGAGATCTTTGCGACCTTTGCGATGATGCAAACCCCTAGTCACTAGATAGACTCATTCTCTGATGACTTATCCACAAGGGTAAACAAACAAAAATTGCACAAGGGGGGGGGGGGGGGAGTTGTGTTTGCTCCAAGTCGACAACAGTGGACTAAGTGCCAAACTTTTATCGAATTGAACCTTAAAGATAAACTTTAGTACTGGTAATGCGATTGAATTGTGAAAGAAAATGTGTGGAAAGGATCAGAAACAGTTGATCATGTAGCATGTAAGTATTGGTGTGCACTGCAAGGTTCTGGAGTCATCAAAATCATAATAAATTTGACCGAGTCTTGGTAAAGTAACAAGCACTCACATAGAAAGCTATATATGGGACAACACACATGGTGTCGGGGCTAGTACTACCTTGATTTCCTTGTCTTTCTATGCTCATTACTCAGCCAGTATACATTTTCTTCCAAAATTGTTTGGCACATGTCATTTATTTGTAATCTTGAACATTCAGTGTAAGTTTCGTTTGATTCTGTGAGAATTATTATTTTTTTTTTTACCAGTACTGGAGTTTATCTTTAAGCAATTTGAAATAAAGCAATAAACCATTTTTCGTTGAAGAAACGGAAACGATCATGCATCATTGGCATGTAACTTACCCTGATAGCGTTCACATATGAAGGGTAGTTTGTTATTGCATGAATCATCACCCCATCCCATGTTTGAATCAGAAGGTTGTAGAAAGGCACAATCTTGATTTTCCCCGTCGTTTGGTTGACCAGACCCCCATGAAGAATACCTGTGTGTATTGCATAAAGGAGAAATTAATGAGCAAACAGACGGTTAAACGTAAGAATGGTTTTAGGGGTGCGTGTTTCTATCTGCTTTGTTTTTAGTTTTTTGGTTTATTTTTTTGCATTTTATTTGCAGATATGCAATCTTAGTTCTGACAAGTGAAGTGTAATAACCCATGTCGTATAAGTGCATTGTCTTATTTCTTGGCTTTTAAATATTTAATCTCTCAACAGTAGTTTTGAGCCGAAACATCTATACTAATATACTCCCTCAATCAAAAAGCAAGTTCCCCCACAATTCTTTTTAATCTTACTCGAGAAAAAAAAATCATAAAATTAATGTATTCGGAAAGCAATGTATGCACTGCTGTTATACCTATATTCGGATTGCTAGTTAGAAATTTTTACTTTTGATGCGGATTAAAAATACAAAATAATATACACTTGGACATGTACAAACGATGAAAATCATTAAAAAAGTATGCCCTCCATTGCATTACGAAAGGCAAAATGCATGGGGTGTTTAGTACTAACTACAAAAATTTCATTATCAAAACATAAGATAGCGATTAAAGTGAGATTAAGAAAGTTTTAGAAAAACAGATTTCATGAATTAATAATTATCTAGTTACCATGAAAAAATTCCGTGAAATTTTCGTTATTCTTACTATTTTTTTAATTATTATTATTTTTTTTTTTGGGGGGGGGGAGTCACTTATCTCAACCTACATGTATATATAATGATACGAACATTTTACAGATTACATAATTATTAAAGGAGTAATATAAATACTTTTGAGCTTAGCGGTCATTTCAAAGTAGAAACGACTAAGTTGGCATTCCATATTTATTAAACCTACTGTAAAGGTGTTCCGTCGATCCATGTAAATGTGCCTTCATCAGCTTGGTCAGTCAAACCAAAAAATATATGGTCATCTGATCCCGAATATTCTTCAGAATTCCTGACATGGAGAAAAGTCTTTTGGGAAGGGAAAAAATGTCACCTCATTAACTTCATTCGTTTTTCATATTTAATAATCAGTTTTAAAAGTATTGGAAATCACAGTGTTAACATGACTGTTATATTACCTATGCTATCAACTACAAATCATCCTTTTTGGAATTGGCATTTGCTTCCGATTTCATCCCGCATTCACGAAGAACCGGTTTGTCTATTAAGTCACATACGTCATTCAATCGTGATATTACTTTATGAAATATTCTTTCCAATATTTGTATAGCTCAATAGCCATGTAAACCTCTAAGCTGTGATAGAAACTACTAATAAAACAACCAAAAATGTAATATATGTTTAATGATACAACATTTCAGAAAGCTGAATGAAAAGGAGTACATATAATTGAACATACATTGATATCGTGTGATTTGATGAGTGCTAAATCAGCTCCATGATACTGACAGTAGGTCCGTGCATCTGAGAAAGACCGAGCTAGCCATGACGGAGAGTTGAAATAATCTAGACCTCCAAATGATGCTTCACTATTTTTATCAGATACTGTAATAAAGCATAATTTCTAGTAGAGAGTTTAATGTGATGAGTAAGAGTGTGATATTAACTAAATTGCGTCGGCTTTTCTCTGCCCAATTTAGGCATTCCTCAGATTCTACGGAGCCCTTTGCGGGCCTAACAGTCGATGATTAACTTTGTTTAATGTTCCAAATATGTATGAAAAAAGAGGGCGATTGCATTTGTTGTCATTTCTTTAAACAAAATTATTCATCCACAGTCTGAAGAAGAAACTATTTCGTCGGTGTAAGCATCTCCCTGGTGTAAGAATGCGCAAGATTTGAAAAAAACATTTTCATTTTTTGTTCCTGAAATAAACAATTGCAGTGGTATCTTTTGTAGTATGAGAAAATTGCCAAGTTCTAAATAAGCCAGACATCCCATGGTGGTGTTTGAAAACGGAGAATGCATGTTTTTGTTTAAATAACAATAACGGATTTCATTTAGGAAGTGGCGCAATATCCGAAATATCTGAAAATCAATTTAAAATTCAGCTTGTACGAATAGAAACATGCTCCAGCGACGATTGCTTTGCAATCGATTTATTAACCTAAACGAAGTCCAAACTTCAGCCATTTATCCTTAGACTAGCCCCGACCTTAACCCCTACCAACATGATCTAAAGACAATACGTTTGATATAAAGCCCGGAGCTACTGTCGCCAGAACACAATTCACGTTGGATCATCAGAATTCATACCTGGTGTACGCTCACAAATGTACGGTGAAGATAGCTGTGAAGTCTGGTCATACCATGACGCGCCATCACGCGTACCAAGGCAACCCCAGGAGTCAGCATCATTGGGTTCCCTGGCGCTATACCAATCTTTATACCTAGGAGGAAAAACGGTTCATAAATCAAGTTCATATTGTGACCATTGTCATAATTATTATGATTATTAACAATAATAATGATTATATATCATTATAAGTAGTAGTACATGTAGTAGTAGTAGCAGTAGTAGGAGTAATAGTAATAGTATTGTTATTAGTATTATTATCATCATCTTCATTATTATTATCATTATCATTATCTTCATCATCATAATTTTTCGTGTAATATTGATAATAATCATGGAGGTTCGGATATACATCATTAAACTGAACGCGAATTTAATCTGTATTCACATTAACCTCATCCCCCCCCCCTCCCCCTCGATATGCTACAGAAATACTGGAAGTATGTATTATGCCACATTATAGAGCAGAAATCTGGTCGTAACGTTATCTTGTAACGCTGAGCCGAGCTTTTTATATTCCGTCTTCTTGATATTCATCTGAAACATAGATATTACAAAGTATGCTGATAAAGTGTATAATATTTTAAAGAACACTGGAAACATTTCAAAAATATATATTTCGCGGAAAATTGTAACTGCAGATTAAATATAGAAAGGCATAGGCGTTCATCAACATGTATTTTTTCTCTTGACTGATCTTGACAGAACAAACACATGAAGAACATACTGGATTGCAGTATCATCCAACCAGTAGAAGGTTCCCTTGCCACTCCTCCGAAACCCGATCAAATAACAAAAATATGAATCACTACATGTAGGTAGAAGCGCTTTGAGGAATGTCTGTTAGCAAAATGGAGAACAAAACAATCATAATAAATGTATGATTTATTCACAAATTAAATCAGAACGAAAAACCTTAGCGTTAGCTGAGATGGTTCCTTGTGTTTTAAGGGGATCCCTCTCTCTATTTCTCTCTTTTGCTTCTTTCTCTTTTGATGTATAAACTGTGCATGTGAACGGCACTTTGTCTTTTAATATATATTGCAAATTGTTTGTAATATCTTGCATATTGCGACATAATGTTTGAAGTTATTTGAATATTATTTTATTCTTTCGTCTTTCATTCAAATTAATAGGCAATCAAACACAAATAGCAAGCTAATTTTAATAGAATGATAAGAAATTCAGCGAAATCCGTTTTATACAAGAGCTTTACAAGAGGCTCGCAAGAAATTATTGAAGAAATAATCTTTCACTGGAAACAAATATGTAAAATATGAAATTACCTCTAATATATACAGATAGATTCTGAGCAAAATATGCATTTTTGTTGGGAATACTAATTTTCTATTTAAAACTTTTAGGGGGGTGTACAGCCGTTCAAAGATAGTATAACCGTTTTTGTTTTGTTTTGTCTAGTTTTTATTTAATTGCATAGCAATATATTTACTTTCATTCGTTTCTGCCGCGTAATTTAGTGAAGCATTGCGTTAATCATGATTATTCGATACACAATAGCCAATTTACGAATGAAAAAACTCACTTCAAATGCCATTGAAACCAATCAAGTCCATAGAAAAGTCCCCATGCCTATCCACGCCCCCCCCCCTTCCCCCGCGAACCACTTGAAAGAGACAACAGACGTAATTTCCTGAGACTATGGTCAGTGAAATCTGGTTCGGCGTTATTTGCGGTGACTAGGGTGGAGTCTCTCCATCGGGGGTGTACAGATTAAATTTCTATGTACAGGTGTACATATAGTTTGCCCTGTAGCGTATATCTTAGTTTTCTTAATTATCTTAATCATCTTGACCGTGTGAATACTGTATAAAATGTGTCACTAAACTTACGTTGACTTCGGCTGTTTTGATGATAGCCAAATCACCGCCATAACTTTGACATGTTTCCCTGGCAGCACTTGGCGTTGCATGAGGTGTGAACTTGATGAGATACTGAGATTCACCGAACTCTTGCCATCTATGATCATCGTCTGTTTATATCACATTAAATAAACATTACGCTATATTGAAAATGGAAGACAGCTACTGAACTATTACAAACTGAAATATTGGATGGGCTAAACAAATACAAAGTGTCAAAGAGTATATATTACCCGTTTACAAGTATAACGATGCAAGCATTTTACAGCACTCGGCATTCTATTAATGCACAGTACAGATCATTTAAAGGCAATTATCCAACCCGTGTAATAAGTTCATTTGTACGAAAGCACACACAAAAAGATAAACGAAATGGTGACAGTTTGAAATTAATCTGACCAATAATAAGAGAATTATGAATGTTTGAAAAGCGAGGTCTCTAAATAAGTGCGAATCTCAAACTGGTAATTTAGTCTTTGGATGGTGACGTAGACACGGACAACTCTATCATTTGTCGTGTACAAAAAGTTTAATACCTTCTATTTTTTATTTCCCGTTTCCTTCACTGAGGTACTTTTGAACATATATTATGAAAAGCATATCATTATATACCCTCTGTAGAGAATAGAACATCCTGATCATACATTTGTCAAAAATGTACATGTAATTCATTTAGTGTGTTGGAACAAATGGAAAGTTTTCCGCCTCTACATCATAGAAACATTACCGATTCAGCCAATTCGAAGAGGCCATACCTAAAGTGATTTTATTTCACCTTTGAAAAAATTCATAATTTTCTCATTTTTTTGTCTGATGTTTTTCCAATTTTTGCCAGTCTGCTACTCTGCTCTTCAAGCTTTCTTCTAGTCTATAGTAGTTTGTTATGAAGGTTGGACTGACTTTAATACTGTATATCAAGGTAAAACAGGTAGACGGTATGCTATTATATATTGAGGACGATATTTCTTTGGTGAAATTTTATGGCAATTTTCGTGACATTTTTGGTGAAATTTTCTCGAAATATTGTCGAAATCCGCAAAAGAATGGTACAATATTTTGCGAAAATGGCCGTAAAATTCCACCACAATAAGCTGAGATAGCACGCACTCTCTTTCATAATCATAGGGATGTCAGTAGACAGTTCCGGTACAGTGAGACTACAAGAGTGCTGTCATGGTAAAATTCAATCATATTCATGCACATATTTTAGAAATCGTCTTGGACACTGCTGTAGACATTGATCTCTTCAATTTACATCTACCACTCTTTAATTATATTTTAACTGGACTTTTATTGACATACTGTACGTCTGGAAATCATCAAGCAAACCATTATTATGTTTTACTGGATTTAATTTAATTTCAAATTGTTGTCACCATTTTTAATAAAATGATATGAAATATATATTCATAAATTGCATCGAATAACTAATCGAATAATCATACATACGTGAACATTATGATTGGCAAATGAAAATGGTTGGGATACCCCTCCAGAAAGCATGTTAAATATTCGTAAAGCATGAACATGAATTAATATTAATTACAGCAAGAATACTCTTTAAAATTACTATTGGAGTAATATATGGACAAAAAACTTTTAGGCTTCAAGAACATCATCTAAATGTTATCGCAGAATGTTTTTACTTGACATTACTCATTATTGTTCAGCAATCAACATTCACTTCAATAAATATGTGGTGACATCACCTACAAGGGTGTAAAAGAATTATTGCCCCTTTAAGCTTGGTAAATTATGTAAATTTTACACAATGATTAAGGTTAACGATTTGATTCTTCGTTCGGCTCTTATCATTTATAATTAATTGTGTATCGTTACAGAAATGACAGCCCATCTAGAGCATGAATATCTGATGATCATCTCGAAATAGTGTGTTAAAAAGGAAAATGCGTTTGATCGTTATTTAGTATCAAAACGGCTCTCTGGTATAACTGTTTTGATATCACTGTACACGCCGTAGATAAAAACTGGGTACAAAATAGTAAACGAAATTCGATCGTAAACATTTTGTATTAAGAACAGTCTGCCAATATCGATCTAGAATATATACAATGTTATTTATTCAATAGAATGAATCCAAAAAGATACTCCCACATCCTTCTCAATGTAAATGTACATGGCAAGCGCCCAAGAGGAAGACCAGCTAAGAGATGGACAGACTGCATCAAGGCGGACTGCAATAACAGACAACTTGACTCCCTGACTAAAGCCACTAGGCTAACAGAAGATAGGAAGGTGTAGCAAGCCGTTGTGAAATAGAAACCATCATACAATCCAGAGATGGTGTGGACGGCTTAACTCAAGTAAAGTAAAGTTATCTTACACGCTCCTTCAGAACTGGACTAAACAATGTGAGAACGAAAAATGACTTGAAATACCTACCGATAGGTATTTGGCAGATATGTTGTCTATTTGATGTGCATGTTCGTCGGTTCCATCGTCCATGTATCGAGCTACTTCCAGACCTCATTACAGCACAGTAAGGTGGTGGATCGGTATATAGAGGATAATCCCAGTTGGTATACCTTGAAAATGATTAATTTATATATCTAATAGAATTAACAATTAAAGAATCATGAACTCCACGGAAATACTAAATAAATATATGAGACAGAGGCCAACTACATTATGACTCGGTTGTCTTTGGAGAAAAAAAGGACATTGAATCTTCTGGTAAATCAGTATGAAGTGCTTATGACTGATTTTATAAATACATTGAAATGGTAGATTTTACATGTAGCTAGGAGTTTTTCATTCATTCCTTGACGGAACTTGAGTCTAGAGAAAGTATAATAAAAGTACATGCTTTGGCATTATCATAAATAACTGCTAGCAAAAAAATATCATTTAGTAGCATGAATTTCAATTGTCGATTTTGGGATATAAAACCTTAGCGGTTTGAACTTGTGACACGTGACATTTCGATTTATTACACAAACGTTGCAGATTTTGCATGACTCAGAACAACCTGGAATATGAAGATTTGATCAAAATGTGATATATTAGCAATAATTCAATGATTTATGTGGTATTATGACTCTCAAATTAAATTTTAGTTCAAAACGATTTGAATAATGATTTAAGATGAGACGACTCAGGGTTAGAGCAGTGGTCTCGTAACCGGGAGATCCGGGTTCGAAACCAAGTGGCAAGTCAATGCGCTACTGCCATTTGGTAAGCCATAAACCTTCATTACCAAGTCCCTCGTTCGTAGAGGACTTACGGCCGTCGGTCCTCTGGTTGCTAACTCAGAAACATAACGTGCCTTCCTAGCAGTCAGGTAGAACCAATCACACACAAAAATTAGGGTTTCACCAAAAGAAATCCACAATTATGCACAGTCGGTCAGTATAACTTGTTCTTGGTTGAAATCCGTCAGGGGTGCAAATTGCCACACTTGCCCCTCCTCTTCAAATGGCTAGTGCCCTCTTTCCGCGCTTGCATGCCATTATTACCACTGCCATAATGAATATTTGTTATAGGAAAACGATTTGAAAAACATGAGTGGCATTTTATCACGACGATAGTTGATACATACTCAGGGTCCATTCCATCAATCCATTTGTATTCATCATCCTTATCCGTGCCTTCTAAGCCGATGTAAAAGTTACCATTCCTCGCCGGTAATCTCGTGGCAATGAAAGCCTATTCATATTATGAAGAAAAGAGAAATACATTGGAGATTAATATCAACGTGGCGCATTGCAACATTGTCTAATCTCGGGGGAGGGGCAAAGTAAACACGCCCCCCCCCCCCGATTCAAAGGATCAATATCTTAGTCGCATGCATTGCGTTCAAGGCTCAGCCCCCCACCAGTTTAGTTTAAGTAAGCGTATGCATGTTCCCTCCCTTTGAAAGAACCCCCCCCCCCCCCCTAAGTCCGGTGTGTATACGGGCCGATTTGTGTGTGTATTACGAGCCGGACTTTGATGCGTGAAAATTACCCCTTTACTGGAGACTTGGGAAACATGAATACGGTCCCTCCGTTCCCGGAGTGGAAGGGGGAGGGGGGGGGCCGGGGCTCAGCCCCCTCGAACTTTCGGCTCATTGCAGTAGTGGTTACAATGGGAATGTTCAACCAGTATTCTTAAAATTTTCAATCGGAGTTTCAGATGTCACATTTTCCAAACACGTCAACGTATATATATAAAGGTTTATGTTTTTAATTTCACTGGTGGGAAATCGTGAGACAGTGGACACAAGCACCAGTTTAGTTTTTTTATTTTTTTATCTGAGAATTAAAAATGGTGTACCTGTTGGGTGGTTGGATTAATGCCTATACCGGTCAATAACATAATTCTTGAAAAGTTTAACTTCATAGAACATCTGCCAATTAGAATACGATTTTTGCTATCAGTATCAGTCTTGACAACATTCCACCGCCCTATTCGTTCTGAAAACACAAAGAAGGCGCCAGAAAATCATGATAATTCATAAGAATAAGTAGGCAACGGTTAACAAATGTTTAATTTGAAAAACGTTAATACGGTTGGCTCCATGAAAATTCTGATAAATATCTAATGTAGTACACGATAAAAGTGCGTACGTACATTTTGTTCAGCTGATGTAATGATTGGCATGTCACCCCTAAGCTTTGACAAAGTGCACGTGTGTCGGAGAATGTCTTGTAGACACCATGGTAGAAGACATACTGATAGCCACCATACACATTCGACCCTGATGTAGAACACTCTTGACATTCAACTGTAAGATAAGAATAAGAGACAATGAAGCAACACGTGATTCTTCACACAACAGTGGGCTATACCCCCCCCCCCCTCTCCCCCACCCAAGCACCGTTTTCGAATTGCCCATAAAAAAAAAGAACAAGGAAAACAGAAGGAGTCATCTGATAATGTGTTTTTTTTAAGAGGAATACGGAAGTAAAAGGAGGATCTGACATTAATCCTTTTCACCTTCATTTTATAGCCCCTTTAATTAATTTGATTTTAAGTGGTACGCAACTATTCCCTTCCCCTCCTACAAATTTCTAGGGGCGTCTTATCTACGGCAGGAGCAGTTCTTTCCTCAATCATGTCGATAATTGTCTGTCCTGTATAACGTATTTTCTCGATTACTTTGTCCCACCTCCCAACCCCTCCACACGCGCGCTTTCCTAGATTAAGATCAATGCTCATATTGCATCCAAGCAACCCCTCTGATCCGTTTATTATTCCAAATAAATTACTTTCACTTTTTTAAAGAATAAACACTTATTTACCCTTCATACAGTGGGAGCACATAATAGAGTGGGAGTACTGAGGTGAATGCTCTTGACTCTCATACAATAGGTCCCTCTCCATGCCCTCAGGTGTATTAAATGGGTACCGGGGCCAACCGGGCAATGCCGGGGTATTAATAATTACGGTACACACGGGAAGGGCTGTATTAATACTGATATGGCTATCCTGGCTGTGTACATAGGACCCCATCATTATTATACCCACTGTTTAAGGTGAATATAATATGTATATGGTTCTATGTTGTCGATTTATAATTGTGAATGTAAGTTCATTTTAATGAATCTTTAACCCTATGTTAACTGGGGGGATCAATTTGACCCCCCCCCCCCCCCCCCCTCCCTGTTGTAATTTCGCGACTACTCCGAAACCGCGGCAGATTAAGTTTTCCTTTCATGACTTTTTTCTTTCGAGTGTTACGCATCTTTTTAAAACAATTTGTTTCGAAAATCGGACGTATAGTTACAAAGTTACGTGATCTTTTGTCTTTGCCTGTCAGCCCGAAAATTGCTAATTGTTGTGATTTGTGTACAAAACATATGGGGTCAAAATAGTTGAATTGTAGTTAGAAATGAAATAAAACAACAAAAACAATAAAATTCATAACTTAAAAAAAATAGTGAAATACATAAGAAATTATCAAAACAAGAGATAACATAAGGAATAACCTGGCTCTTCCAATTTGTTTGTGTTGTATTATTATTCCAAATGGTCTAACAAATATATATAGTGGAAACACATGCTTAAATATGAATAATATATGATTTATGGGTAAAAATGTGAATTTTATGACCTTATTTGCATAAATTACCATACATAGGCAAATGAGTGAATTTTTCCAAAAATTGAAATTACCATGGTATTCTATACACTTCACTTGACATACATGCAAATTTTCGCGGCGATCGGCTGTGAAACGGCCGAGATCTTAGGGGGGTCAAATTGACCCCCCCCCCTCCCCTCCAGTGAAAACCCGGTCTGAAATAGCCCAGTTAAAATAGGGTTAATAGTGATAGCATACTGTTCACAACAAAAAAAATGACTGGTGGTAAACAATAAACAAGTATTGATACTTTTGAATTCCATAGGCCATTCCATTCTTTTGGAATTGAATAGTAAAAACATCCAGTAAGTTTAATACAAACCTGTAATAGACGCAAGAATCCATATCAGAGTAAGTGACAGGAACATCCTTAACCATCCAAGTATTGAATCCCCAGACATTGTCAATATCACAGAAACACAGAGAGTGAATAGTGAAGTCCAATATTTAATATTATCAATTCCCTTCTATGTACACATATCAAAAAAGATTGTGCTTGTACTTTTAGTAATATCCATTGCTATATATCCTGGTATGACGGAGCAGCTTGGAATGGCCTGTGATCTGATTCCAGTACCCAAATATTGTGAGAGATTATTGAAAAGAAAGTCGATTATGCCATCTATCAAATTATAGGCAATGTACTTCCTCCTTGTGGGATAACACCGCTAATCAGAGGGTGGCGAGAGCAACTGAGGTATGATGAAGTGTACCGCGCGAAGTGAAATAGATCAGAGTTTTGATGATACGTTTGTGGTAGAATGTACTTTGTGAATCAGTCATGTTCTACATGGACAAAAGGACACCAGAACAGGCTATTTTGATCATCACACAATTTCCACGCCATGACGCGGAAAAGCCGAGTATGACTTTTTTGTACAAGGTTATTTCCGCTTTCCAGGCTAATCGTTTTCTAAAAGGGCCACAGCTGAAATAACAAATACATCAACCTGTGATATCGATAATTGATACTTTGGTTGTATCCATGTCTATGAAATGAAATTAATCTGCAAATTCAATCTTCATCAAAGTTATTATAAATAACAATCTATTGAAATGATTCTGTACGATCCAAGAATATTCACACGACAGAACTTTTGCCTCCATCAAAGGTACTATGTTCCATTTGCAGGCCCAAAAAAAATGAAAAGGTAAAATTCCAACGGTGTTTGAAAGACAATACTAATTTAAAACTTCCATCAAAACGAAAGGGCTTGAAAATATATTTCAGGGGGAAAATAACGACCATTAGTTGTCGAATCGAATTAAGTTATTGCAATGTCTGATTTTCAGACCCTTTTACCGAATGGTCGTCCGTTTTATGCTGCACACAAATTTAATCAGTTTAATTTTGGCCATAATTTTGGCCATTACAGGTAGTGGGTTATTGATGCTGACAAATTATAATGTACTTGTACCTATAACAGCTCATTTGATGTGTGTTATTACCAAATAAAAAGTCAGTCAGTCACTCAATAGTGTCTGACAGTGAAGTCTAGAAGGTAAAAGGGTTTCCTTGCATAATTTGAATACTAGGACACTGCTAATGTTTAAATTACACAGATAGGGCATACATGACATATTCATAATTCTTGCAAGGTTCTACAGAATTTGATGTCGGCTGCAAAAGGGACATATAGTATCTTTAAACGATTTCATATTTGTATAATTCTAGAACAGCGCTCTTAAATTTTCGGTCCTCATTTTAAACAGTTCAACCGACCCTGTGTCTAAGATCACGTTTAATAAAAGGAAAAACTAGACTTTACATCTACTTTCTTAGTTAAACCAGATTTTGGACAAAAGCCAAAACCCAGTGCCGGGCATAATTTTCAGTAGAATACGGGAAGAAGGTTGTAACCTTTGAGTCATTACCTATTCAAATGAATATCCATGGATTTGAGAATAAATGGAAAAGGTAAAACATTCATCTATGGTCTATTGATAGTACCAAAATATTGTGAATAATGTGGACTGCGACCTGGGTCCCGTCTTAGGATGAGTTGCGATTGATCCAAATCAATCGCCAGTCCCTCGATCAATCGCAAGTTTGCAGTCTCCTTTATCTTATGTACAAAGTTGAAATTAATATCAATCGCAAATAAGAGATCCTTGAGATTTCCCATGTGGAAGATTATCATAGTAGATGTTCCATAAAATGATTGCACACCGAATAAATTAGTTCTCAACTGCATGGCGGCAAAATTCTGATTCCATGCTTGTGTGTGTATAGTAAAGTTTAACGTTTGATATAAAGTTGTTCCTCTCTTCATATTTTCTATTCATCATAACTAAAAGATTTATCTAATCCAAACAAAACTTCTAGACAGTTTGTTTTTACTAATGTCACACTGGGTGTCAACTGTACAAAGAAAAATCAAGTAAAGGAATGTCTGTTTTACCGGGGCATGGTCCCTTTGCATCCATTGCCTTGTGATAAGGGAATAGCGAACATGTAATTCAGTTGAGGTTTTGTGCTTGGTATGGGTGGTATTGTGTTATCATACCTCCATTGTTAGTGATCGGCGAGGCGCTAATTGCTTGTCTGGATAAAGTCTGCAAACCGATCAATACACAATTGCATCGTACTGGGTTTCGTAGGGAAAGCCCCTGTTAAATAAAACTCATCGGTGTACTTTATAACAGGGACTGAACGTATACTTAAATTGACAGGGGATGAAGGCCCGTGATACTCTTTTGAAAATGAAAAATATTTTGGAAAGAATACAAGGTGATACAAGATGATTACTTTATCTTTCCCTTACACTCCAGATGTGAATATAGCAATGAAATATAATATGATTGTATTAATATGACCAGGGGCGGATCCAGCCGGCGTTGATAGCCAAATTGGCTGAATTTGGGGCTTACCTTAGATGTGGCGTAAGCCCAAAGCCGCAATGCTCTATGATAGTCATGCCCCTAAACCCTACATTAGACGCTAAAATGGACGCCGAATTTTATACGAACCCAGCAGAGAACGATAGACCACTTGAATAACAATTTCCTGCATATCACTGGGCCCATGATACTTCTATCTGGGTCTCCAATAAGTCTTCGAACCACGTTGTCACTCCTCCCTGACATAGGCGTACAGAAACATTTTCGCTAAAGGAAATCACGCCTTTTGAGCAGAATCTGAATCTTTAGGTTTGTTAATCTTCCTACCCGAATATATGACTAATCTGGCATCTCACTCCTCGAGTTTGGGGTGCTGGTCTCCCGAATATCG